CCACTTTCTGAGTAGGATGATTAATTTTTTTCATCCCCACTCATGGAGTTAAACCGAAGTCCTGTGGGGTGTTCATCACTAAATTAAATTGAAAATGTATTACACTTTGAAATACCTAAATGTACATTGATGTAAGTTGTCTTGAATGATGTAACTTAAAACAGAATTTAATAGAAATTATGGAGCTGAATTAAGGATTTAATATGCCATATTTAATTTATAAAACTTAGAGTGAAATGGAATTATACCACTGTCAAATAGTAATATGTCTCAAACATAATTTTTAACCAAAGTTTGTTTTTGGGCAGACAACAAATCCACGTACTCTGTTTGATAAGCTGGAAAACTGTTAGTATTTAGAGTTGTCATTTTTATACGTTCGCCATAAAATTATTTTTTTATTTAACTCTGAGAGAAGGTTAACAATTGTAAACTTATATAAATATGTATAAAAATATAATTTACCTAGTAAATTTGCATCCGTAAAGAACTTGTGAAACGTTTACAAGTCGAAAAGTCAATTGGCAACCCTCCAGATTATTTTAATCTCGGCTCGAGACTTGCCAAAATCACTCTTTGGCAAACAATCACTCTTCTTATTCTTCAATCTACTGAGAAATAAAACATGTACTATACTTGCATTGATTTGGTATACTTGCTGTCTAAAGTGATATTTAAGAGTAATTATCTTTTCCACTGATGCAAAAAAATGATTTGAGTCATTGATGACAATTACAAATTTAAATAGGTTATTGCGTCAGTAACTGAAATCTTAGAGATTGAAGTAAAGCTGAATGTTTTAAGTGATTGACAGTAAAATTCAAAACAAAAGCAGATGTTTATCTTGATTGTCTAGTCAAATGCATTATGGTTCTACCACAGAGAGCTTATAAGTTACTATGACTTACACTCATTTATCGGTTGAGGGTAAATTTTGAATGATGAAAATATAATCTTATCTTAAAATAATTTATTGTACAACATGTATCCAAAAAACTGACTAGACCATTTGACAGTGAGACTTTTGACTGTTTCAGGTTAAAGAATTAAAGAAGAAGCTCGTAGAAATCAACATCACATCAGTGACTGCGCCTCCTGAAGACCTGCGGATAGAGTATGAAAAACAGATTGAAAATATTCGTAAACTTCGAACTCTCTACGAGGAGCGTGCGGCCGCAACATTGCTTGAACATAGGCGTCAGCTTGAGCGGGAAGAAGCAAGAATAACTGTCCTTGAAACTAAACTGTCTGAGTTACAGAAGGAAACAGAAGAGTGCAAGGATGCAAAAAAGGAATTAGAAGAGAAAATTGAAAAACTAGAAAGCACAATACAAGGTAAAGATGATGATCTAGCATCAACTAAAGACAAACTATTCTCCTGTACGATTCAAAATAAAAGTTTAAACTCACAAATTAAACTAATAAACACTCTTTTTTCACAAATGATCATAAGCCCGAATGTAGATTTGGATCGTTTGATTAGATTGCTGAAAGATAATCATGGTCTTATAACAGACTTGACTGAAACAGGAGATTCAAATGAAGTTGCAGCATTATTGGTTGATCTAGCAGGACAGGTCGAGAAGGAAAATGAAGAGAAAAAGTCTGCCCCAACCCCTTCCTCGGAGGAAATAGAGGATAATGAATTACAGCCAATACACCAAACAAATGACAGTTCACAATCTGAAATAGCTTCTAATCTTTCAAAAGTCTGGAAAGTAATAATTGAGCTACTGAGTCACCATCAAAATTCAAGTCAAACTGAAATTTCAGGAGGAGCGGACAGTTGCTACAAAAGTATACAAACTCCATCAGGTCCACGGTCAGTTATAAGTGTTAGTCAAACATTTATAACTCTTAAGGACTTGATTTTAGAAAAGAATAGGCTAGTCAAAGAAGTCGGTAGATTAAAAACATTGAATAGTCACTTGGAACATCGCCTGGGTAGCCAAGAAAAGAGACTGATAGTAGTAACATCCGAGCTACGGAAAACATGGGGAGTTGTAAATAAACTTAAAGCCCAACACAAGCAACTTCACACTCATGAGAAGATTCTCCGCTATGAACTGCAGCAAAAGAGATGTATGCTAAACGAATTGAAACAGGAGCTAGTTTACTGCAAAGACAAGTGGGAGCAGGCTAGACAGAAGAATTCTCAAACAGAAGAAGACTGGAAGAAACTTAGGAAAGAATTTGCTCTAAGAAAATCAAGGAAAGAGAGCAATTCTGCTGAAAGTGGTTATGAAGAAGAGGATGTAGCTCAGTCTCCACCTTCCGAGCCAATAATGAGCAGGGAAAGCTTGTTTGTAAGACAACATGAAGGGAGTGAAACAGAGCTATCAGAAGAGGACATGGAGCATTCTGACGGTAATAGTTTTGATACTGTAATAGATTTGCTTGATATTGCTTGTATTGAGAACCCAACCAATACCAATTCCGATGTACCTTTTGCACTTTGTGAAGCACCGCCTGAGACACCAGAACTCCCTCCAAATCTTCTTCTACCACTAACAGGTAGTGAGTTTACTGAGGGCCTTGATCAAATTGAGTCTGAAGATTTAGCGGCTGTGTTAGATGTTCAGTACCAAACTCAACTTTTGGGTGCTGATTATAATCTTTCATTGCCATCATCAAGTGGCTCTTCACCTATACCAACTGAAAATGAAGAATTTGCTTTGTCAGAAATGGATGTTTCTGAAGAAGATTCATCTTCAAATGATAACCACGTTTATACAACACCTCTACCATTCACCAATCAATCTGTTTCTGAAGACAAATTGTTATTTGGCTCAAATTCATCAAAAAATATATCAAAGTTTTTGGAAGGACTTTTTACTGACCAAGAAAATAATGATGATAGCACAGTTCCACAAAATAATTTGCATCTTGATGTGCCCAGTACATCCCAGAGAGATGAGAATGATAGCACAACTCCTATTGTAAATAATATGAGCTGTTACCAATTCCCTGTTGTTGACTTCTCAGCACAATCAGCTAATGGAAGCCCCAAAGAATCAACACAAGAGGAAAATGTGAGTAATGATGAAATTAGCAAACAGACTTTCAGTACTGAGCAGGAATCAATTTTTCAACAGTTATCAACAACAGAAAATACAACAAAATCTCATCATGATGATGATAATCCTAGTAAATCCTTGTCTGAAAATAGGGCAGACTCACCTGAAGACTCTTTGAGAGCTCGAGAGGAACGTCTGAAAAAACTAGAAAAACAGTGCAGATCTCTGGTCACGAAAGTCATGTCTACATCATTTAAGAGTGAAGTACTTTCCAACAAACTTGACGAGTTGCACCAGTGTTGTGGTTCTTCAGAAGACATTCCCAAAATTAACGAGAAAACTGAGACTTGCTTAAATGATACTAAAACACAAACTGAGCACAGTGATGGCATGAAGACATTAGACAGCTCATGTTGTGAAGCTTCAATAGCAACACCTAATATGATTTTACCCAATAAACATTCTGAAATCTGCCATAAACCTTCAATGTCAGAAACTGAAAATGCACAAGCAACACCGCTGCCTCAAAAAGAGATCCGTGAAGCAGAAACATTTGAGGAAAGAACGGCAAGAGTCACAAGACTTGAAGATCAATGCAAATCATTATTTTCAAAAATGTCAGCCTCTTCTTCTCGAAGTGAACATCATTTGAAGAACTTGGATGAACATCATGGGAAACATAACTCACATCAATCCAAAGTAAGTTGTGGTTCACGAACAAAAGCACCTGCTTATAAAAGATTTGACCGTACCGAAGACAAAAAACAAAAGAAATCAAAAGAAATGCCAGATTTGGACTCAGAGTCTAAAGCAATCTTGAGAAATTGTTCTCGTGCTGATCCACCACCAGAAACAAGCACGGTGCCAAATAGTGATACTAAAAAAGATCGAACACCTGAGCAAATTTTAGAGGCTAGAGCAGAACGTTTTAAGAGGCTGGAGGAACAATGCAAATCTTTGGTATCAAGGATGACTGCTACATCGTTAAGAAGTGAAATAATATCAAACAAATTGGACGAACTTCACAGTTGTTATGGTTCTTCAGATAGCCCATCAGGCTGTGACGAACATTCCACGACATCAGAGGAAGGCAAAGTGAGATCTCCTAATTCATCTCCAAGACACAACAGAAGAATGGTCACTTTGCCGGGGAGGGAGAATTTGAAAGAAGATCAAACAGAATTAATAAGTAGTCCTATAAGGGAAGAGGAAACTAGGGAACGGGTAACATTTCCACAAAGTTCACAACAGGAGCTAGACCAGAGTACCAAATCACCTAACAGCAACATCGACAGATCAAAGAGAACACCTGAAGAAATCCTGCAAGCCAGAGCCCAAAGACTCAGTCGTTTAGAAGAACAATGCAAATCACTATTTGGTCAAATGTCAGCTACTTCTCAAAGGAGTGATGTTATTTCAAACAAGTTAGAAGAGCTCCATGAACAGTACGGCCAGCCATCTACATCTAGGAGTGCTACACATGATAACACAATTTCAGTTACAACTGAAGAAGCTACAACTGAAAATGATTCAACTGAGGAAAATCAATCTAGCCAACAAAATACTTCAGGTACAGTTCAAGAGGAAACAAATAACCCTACAGATGCTGATTCATCCACAGATAACAATGAAGAAAGAACAGAGTCATTGAAAAAAGCATAATGAAAAACTCTACAAAGATAATGATAAAGATATAACTCTGTTCAGTTTTACTTTCCCTTTAGTCCAGCAACAAAAATGGGATGTTACCATGGTTGTCTTTCAGTGATTTTCCTCAAGAGCTATTTTGTATGTTTTTAATGTTGCAATGTGTTTTGTACTTCCTTTTGTAATCGTTAGTTTGGAATAATTGAATAATTATAAATGTTTGCTATCTGAAATAAAACACTGATAGGTTTTTTTTTTTTTTGTTACAGTTTGAATCTTAAGTCAAGTTATTGTGTAAAAGTACGACATTTGATTTCCTTTAAAATGAATAGAATTATTTATAAAATAGAATTATAGCATTTAAAAACCTTATATTTACTAGAACATACTGTATAAACACTACACAGTATTTGTAAACCAGAAGAAAATGTTGCAATTTTTATGTTTCTTTCAAATGTTCAGTTAATAAAATAAAACCATATTCTATGCTTTAAAATGTGTATATTCATTACAATTATTTAAGGCTGGTTATGTTTTTTGTTTGTTTTATATAATAACGTGATTATGCGTGTAATATAATCTTCTTTTTGAAAACTCCACTTTTATATTACTGTTGAAAACTACTCATTCACGTTTATCCTCAATTCAAAAGTTGTTCACACTTGTAAATTTACAAACATTGCTACACTCACTATGATTGTGACCTATTGAAATGGGTATTATGTATCTCTTCTATTAGATACATTGAAGACAAACCTCAAGGTTTAGATGTTTGATCAGATTTTAAAAATATTTCAGTCAACGACCATTGAGTTTCAGAAAGAAGATGACATCATATCAGTTATGTTGGTGAACAAAATAGATTAAGCAACAACACATTGAATAAGCTATAAATACGTAAAAACCCTGCATTGTGTAAATCTACCCTTGGCTGGTGTCAATAAATGCTTCATCTAGTACACCAACATTACACAAAAGAATTCTGCAGTATTTTTACATTTTGTGTTAAACAATTTGCTTAAGGCCTTAAAGAGTGTATTCATATTTTTTTTGTCATCCCAATTTCAAGAACATGAATCATATTACTTGCCTATTTTTGTTGCCTTCGTTCTGGAGGTAAAAGTTAGTATTCACCCAGGTACATTTACCAGCTTGGTGCCAGATGGTATACAAGATGGAGAAATGTACATATAGGGCGGGTACTAACGTTTACCTCAAGAAAGAAGAGAATAAAAAACGGTAATTAATATTCATTGTTATGGACCTATGACTAGTTTACAATATTGTGTGTAATTTGAAGCCAAAGTTAGGATTTATTAAAATATTGCATTTTTAAAGGATTAAGGTATGTTAGCTAGTCTACCTAAAAAGTTAGAGTCTAGGGGTTTACTATGGACAAAAAAGTCACACAGAAAAACTCTGATATTTCGTCCCATTATTACTTCTTCAGGGAGTAGACAGAGGAAACAAGATATTATCTGTACACAATTCTCTGAGGATGTACTATCAGGACATAACGTAATGTTACACTATGTGGCCTTTTATCCTGTGTCTATTAGCATCTGGACTCTAACCTTCATAGGCAGGGTAACTGAACTCTATTCCTTAAAAAAAAAAACTCTTGGAACATCCACTTGGCCCTCTTTTAAATTTCTATTAAATTAAAAGACCAGGAAAAGTTTATCTTTCACTATACGGAAATCAAAAGCAAATATTTGGAACCTATTGCATCATCATTGGGCAAGGTAAAGTCCTATAGAGTATTAAGAGTTAAAATGCAAACAATATCTATAATTGTTCCTAACTCATCTCAAAGTGAATAGAAAAGACTTAAACTGGTGTTCTAATTTGATGGTTTGGTTAGGGCCTATTGTTTTAATTATTTATTTAGTATCTTAAACAAAATGTTCTTTGCTCAAACTCTCGTATCCAGGTACTGATCGGAGAAGACATTTGGAATCTGGTAGGTTTGTGGAGGCAGTCGTCTGTCTAATGAGTTATAAGAGAATCTTGGTCTCCGTTCCTCTAGAAAATTAAAACTTTGATTACATTCACTATACTATTACGAAACAGTGATGTTGCTAGGTGTATTTTTTTGTTTCAGCCACAGGTTTTACATTTAATACACATCCAGCTAAGGTAGCTTGAGTATTGAGTCTTCGAGTCTTGGGCTTTACTTGCCCTAAGTTGCTCAAATGAATACTGCAAAAAGCCTGTCAGGTTTGAAGTGTGTTCATCATAGGGTACAGGTTTTATGGAAGAATAAATAATAACTAATAAAAATTTATGGTGAGGAATAATTTCCTGTAACTCATTTAACTTATTGAAGTCTAGTCTTGTAACTTATGAGCTAATATAAAAGTCTTGAAAAACTGCAAGACAGCTTGACAATTACAGAGTTCTTACAGCATTTTACTCCCAACTTCAAGGAGCTCAGTTCAAAAAATTGTAGTACTTGAACTGAAGTTTGATCCCTACAACATTTTGAAGTGACCATTCTGATTTGACAGAAAAACCAGAGTATCGTATTAAGAATAGTGGCATAGTAGGCGGTCAATGCATATAGAAATGCCGTAGAAAAGTAGCACAAGTGTCTAGTTTGAACTCTGAAAAATATGATTGGTTTTTAATAACTAAGATTTAAATACTTTATTTACCTTCTAGACTTGTGGAGAGTTTACTTTTTATTGCACCTTCTTTCCTGTTTATCGTTAAACTTCTTTTTCTCCTTGTTTTCCAGATTAGTGTTGGAGAAATTACTAAGAGAAACATGAATGTTCCTAGCAATGCATAAGCCAGTAGTAGATCGTCAGACCCTATATTTAAATAAGAGGATTTAATAGAAGTTCCAAAAGTAACTCTTTAAACCTTAGATATTAATCATTAGTTCGTGGAGACGAAGGGGTTGCCAATACACAGATATCTTCCTTCTTCTCAGGGGAATATTTGTTATTTTAATGGATTGACGTACAGCATAAATAAACCTTACTAGCAATCTAACAAATAATTTCTCCCATCATCTTGTCAACAACCCTTATCAAGCGGTGTGAGTAGCCACGATATTTTACAGGGAAAATCACAAAAGTTGCAATAACTTTTGAACAATTTTTATGACATATCCTCCTTGCAGTCGATCTAACAAATCTTAGTCTGGTCCAAACATTTGATATCAAAGTATCGCAATTGAACACATTGTACTCAATTGCATGGATGCATTATGCATCGATCTCATATCATAACACATTTTTAACGACTAACTCGTCTAGGCCTAACCAGCAATAAAATAGGTGTATAGACAACGGTACAAATTTTCTAAAGAAAGTCTGGCTGAAAAGGGATGGCATTTTCTGGACATGGCTATGCATATTATGTGTGGAAATTACAGCAAATGTAGGTAGAAAAAAAGTATATCAAGCTTTTATCTTACCTGGAATGAAGTAAATTAAATCTTGATTGCAGGGACAAAGATGAAATTCTATTTCGTCATTCACTTGCAATGTCCTAGAAGAACTCAAAAGTCAACAGCTTAGTAAAATAGCCTGCAAAACTGCAAGCTAAGCAAATTTCCATTTGCCTGATTCAATTTTCTCAAAAATATTAAATTCTTATAATTATTAACAGTTTAATAATGATGTAGGCCTACATGTTCATATTTTTACATGTTTTACCAAATTGCATCAATATCTGATCATTTTTATCAAGTTGTCGTCATAACGGACAAAATCAAGAATAAATATGAATAATTTGAACGGATATTGTTCATGACTTCTGGGGGCTACAATATGGAAAAGCAAATTGGTCCTGGGTCTACTTACCATGATACCTACTAATTTATGGGAAATTCGCTGTAAAGAAAAAGTCTTTGATCTAAATAAGTCATAAATGTTTACATGGCGTATGTATATAAATGCATGTTTGTATGTTCTTTTGCACCAAAATTAGGTTTACACTAATATAAAAAATATAAAAAAATGACTTACCAAATTCTTTTGTCAAAACAGGCGCACCAATTCATAAGTGAGTCACTTTCATAACTGGTACCATTTAAATAATTAACAGTAATTTTCTCATTTTTTATAAACAATGTAAAGTTAATAAAAAATGTAAAATGAATTTCACCCGTGATGTTTGAGATTACTTTTGTGTTTTCCCTTCTTCCAGTGATATTTTTATTCCGTTTTTCCATCTCACATAGAAAATTATTTTTATCTTCATCCAAAAGTGTTGAACTTGCTTCAAAAGTACACACTATAACAAGAAGATAATTTGAGTTTAGCTTCTTCAAGATTCTTTGTAGAAAATACGATCTATTTATACCTATGTCAATCTGGTAGGAATATAAAAATTTTTTTGAGGTAAATTCAAAAGAAAAGTCCAAGTCTTCTGTAGTATTGCTAGCATACAAGCATTGGGAAGAAATGTTCTCATAAGTGAATCCCCAGAAGCACTCACAAATATCAGGCTGTACACATATACCATTGTTACAATCGACCGAGCAAAAGGGGTCACAAACATTCTGAAGTTCTTCATCAGGTTCGTATCCAAGAAAGCACAAGCACTGCTCCGGCATCAAACAGTATCCATTTACACACTTGGAACATTTAGGGCTACAAATATTATTGTTATGCACATCTTTCACATAGCCGCTTGAACAAGAGCACTCGTTAGGTCCGATGCATTCTGCATTCACGCAAGGCTCTTCACAGCGAGGAACGCATGTTGAGTAATTCCCTGATGGGTTTGTGTATCCTCTGAAGCAAATACAAGTGTCAGGTGCTACACAAGCTCCGTACTCACAATCTGAACATACAGGAACACAAATGTGACTTACTGGACCTAACTGATAGCCTTCTAAACATTCACATGTTTCAGAAGCTATACATTTTCCGTTGACACACTCTTTTGAACAGACAGGACTAGTACTGTCGCCACAATCTTTACTGATACATGGAGTGCATTTGTTTAGCATGAAAGGGTCTTTTCGGAACCCCCAATAACATTCACAGTATTCTGGCCTGTCGCAATAGCCGTTAACACACTTTTTAGAACAAATGGGTTCACATATGCCAGGGTAATCTGTGCTTTTGTAACCTGGTTTACATGTACACTTTCCAGGCGAGGAGCAATATCCATTGATACATTCATGAGAACAGAAAGGCCCACAAATGTGTGGAACTACTTTATTTTTGTAGTAGCCTTCTTCACACTCACAGAACTGTGGCATAGAACAGATCCCATTGACACATGGTGGGCTACAAACAGGGCTGCACTTGTAGGAATCCCAAAAACTCTTGGTGTATCTGCAAAACAATAGTTATCAGAACATTTGTATTCATTTTCAAAATATTATTTATTATTATAAATCACAATTTAATTCATAAAATAATACTTTAATAAACAAGTGTCCACAAATATGTCTACCAGTTTGTCACACTTCTGTGTGAAAGGTCTTTTGTGGCACACTGTTTACTAAGCTTATGGTACCACTTACCAACCATTGCAAATCTAAAATATCAGTTGCCAAGTGGCCTGTGCCAATTAGTTAAAAACAAAAAATGCTTAACAGATTTTCAGAAACATTGGTCCTATTGTTACAAGACTAGAACTCCGTCATTTAGGTAGGTTGTATCTAAGTTTTGGAGTCATGCTATGCCCCCTGATAATGATAGTAAATGGCAATTATTTAAAACAAGATTGACTTTCTAAGTTTCCTCTCCACATATGACTGAAATGAGAACTGCTCCTTGAATTCTAGGCGTTGTCGACAAACCCACTCTTTAAGAGAGAGCTGGATGCCAACTACTGCTTTTGATGGATCTGGAGTTGTTTCGGTTTCTGGCAGTGAAAACATTGTGAAAACATGAAACTTTCTGCTGATTGATAATGTAACCCAACACTTTGCCTATGTCGGTTCTCGGCAGGTAGTTTGCAACAGCAGAAGCCTGGATTTAATGGAAGGTCATACAAGCCTCCTGCCTGCAGCTGGAGGTAGTGCGGGGCCCAGTGCAAATGTTCATAGTCCTTACTACCAAAAAGTATTATCCGAACAAAAATAATGAACAACATCTCAATTTATAATATTAATATACATAATCCGTCCCTTTTTATACAGGGTTGATAAAAAGTCTGGAGACCCCCTGTCAATTTATTAACGGCCCATACTAGAAAAACTAAACTCTGCACACCTTTATGGCATGTTATGAGGTATCTTTTTGGGCATAACCGCCACTTCATGAACATCCCCAAAATGGGGGATTTCGGGGGAAACTAAAAGATTTCAAATTGTAAGACCCATCGAGTGACCCCCTCATTTTGATTGAAGGTCCTGATAAAAGAAACCCAACAAGCAAACTAGGGGTCTCTATCTCAACCCAGTAAAAAATGGCAGTCAATTGAAATTCTCAGAAGTGAAATTTAACTTTACAGCTTTCCAAGACTGGAGATCCCTGTAAATTTTGTAACGGCTCACACTAGAAAAACTAAACTCTGCACACCTTTATAGCATGTTATGAAGTACTTTTTGAGCCTAATTGGTACTTGGCTCGCAAACCCAAAATGGGAAATTTTGGGGAAAACTAAAAAATTTGAAATGTCCCCATCGAGCGACGGCTCATTTTGAAAGTAGTGATCAAAGAAAACTAACAATGCAAACTAGAGGTCTCTATATATATAGAGGACACAGTAAAATATGGCAGTAAATTGAAATCCTTAGAAGTCTAAATTCTAATTTCTAAAGATTTCAACTGACTGCCTTATTTTACTGGATTAAGATAGAGACCTCTAGTTTGAGTTGTTAGTTTTCTTTTATCTAATTAGGACCTTCAAAATGAGGGGTCACTCCATGGGTCTTACCATTTGAAATTTTTTAGTTTCCCCCGAAATCGCCCATTTTGGGGATGTACCCAAAGTGGCGGTTATGTCCAAAAAGTACTTCATAACATGCCATAAAGGTGTGCAGTTTATTTTTTCTTGTATGGGCCGTTAAAAATTGACAGGGGGTTTTCAGACTTTTTATTAACCCTGTATTTTCATAATTGATGGAAAATTAACGGACCTTTTACAATTTTTTATATTCCATACCAAGTGTGGGGCCCTATGAGGCCGCATCTTTCGCATGTGCCTAAGGCCGGCTCTACGCAGGTAAGCTTGCTATCCTCTCTAAAAAAAAAACAATACAAACTCCAAAGACATACCCTTCGTAACAAGTGCAGTTGTTGGGGGTAGAGCAGTAGCCATTTTTGCAAGGTCTAGAACAAATTGGTTCACAAGCACCGTTGTTTATATGGAATCCTTCGTCGCATGTTTGAGGAAGGTTGGGTTTTGGTTCACTTATGCTTGTGGTTTGGTTGCTCATCAAAGTGTAGTTGCTATGAGCCACACATTTTCCCGACTCACAAACAGGAGTACATCCGGAGAGATGTTCCATGTAGCCTTCGCAGCAGTACAGCTCAGTCTACAAAATAGTCAATCTGCAAATCACAAGTTTCAAGTATTGGACCTAAACAAATCACGAGTTTCAACTATTGGACCTAAACCAGCCGCGGCAAAATTGTATAAGGAAAAGGTCGGAAAATAAAACCATTGTAAAATGTTAAAAACTATATTCAAACATTGAAAACGTTAAAAATAAAAGTTTATATATTACATTATAAGGTTGTAAAACGCTAAAGCCATCATAAATTAAACAGTAAACAACAAAAATTTAAACTCTACTATTGAAACCGTAAAATATGAGATAATGATAAACACAGATATACAGATTTCCGGCTCTCTATTTGCAGCTAAGACATGAGGTAACAGTGAGGTTTGCATGGATGAGGAGTTGACAGATCAATATGACAATACCGGGTGTTTATAAATGAATATCGGGGTTTTAACGCTTTATAACTTTTATACTACTAAACTTACTGCTGTAAATAAGACATAATGAAAAAGCAACTCAAAGAGTTCATGCCTTACAAAGACAAATTATTTAACAAAATCAATTAATTGTACAAAGTTAAAAAGAAATCTCCAACTTTTTTTACCACTATAAATTGGGAGGTTGCTTAAAATTTTTGCAAATAACTTTCAAATGGTGAGGATGTCGACCAAAGTGGAAAGTAATATTATGAAAGAGAATAAAATTTCCTATAATTTACTATTATGCATTTCTTGAAAATACTTAATAAATCCAGCCAAAAATTGCCTCAAAATACAAAGAATTTGAAAATTCCCATTTTCAATTTTGTTTATTTTGAGGCAATTCTTTACTGGCTTTGCTTCTTTTCTTTGCGGCTCTTTAAGTTGCTTTTTCATTTGATGTATTATTTATAGTGGTAAGTTTAAAAGTATAAAAGTTATAAAGCATTAAACTCCTGATATTCATTTTATAAACACCCAATACAATAGACTTGAATCATGATAGACACACATTAAGATATGTAATGGATTACCACAAACTGCAATCAATTTAATTTTTCAAGCCAATTTATTTATTTATTTTTGCTTGAAGTAATCTGGATAATTTGCAATCAACATGATTGGAGCTCTACTATAGTATATTTGTTGTTATTGCTCGTTGACAAATGGACGTTAACAGTGTAGTTGTAGATTTTTCAGAGTAGAAACGATCCTCGTTGTCGCAGAAAACACAGGTCGCTTACCATAATATTATGTACGTATAGGTTAGGTTCTTTGGAAAAAGCAGAGTGGACGTTACTGACTACCAAAGTCATGTCAATATCAGTTGTGTTGTCATAGATTGTTAAATACAATGTTCACAGCAATTTTATACTCAATCTATGAATGTTTAACGTAAATAAAATTAAAAACTAACGAGTAAGCCAATTGTTCAGTGCCCAGATAAACGTCACTCAGCTTGGCCAAGAGGAGATCAAATACATAGGGCCAGAGATTGTTCTGGGGGTCCTGAGTAGTTAATCACCACTGTTGTTACTTTAAGACGACTAATTATGATTACTCTTCAAAAATATATTTGTGTTTTCAGTTGGTTCTCAGTGACACAACTGTTAATGTGTGGATAAGGTAAATGGGGGAGTGAGGTGGTCTCATGATAGAGCACAGGACTTCAGTCCCCAAAGCCCTGGATTTTAAACCTGCCAATCACCAGTGGATTTGAAAAACGTGATCATGACCCTCTAGGTCTATCTTACAGTAATGTATAAACAGCTCTGGGCTAGAGCCTATAGCGTCCTAGGATGTGAAGGAGGGATAAAAAAAGAATGTGTATATAAATATCGAAAGGTGATTTATTTTGATTGTAGTGTGTTAAATAAAAAAAAATTCTGTTGTCCAAATTTTACAAGTTAAAATTGATACGATGATAGGGAGCTGCTAAATGATATGAGGGTTTTTTTGCCGCCCTGTCGAGCGAGCGAGTGGCGGAGGGTAGTAGTAATAGGGGTGTTCCAAAGCCAATGTGTGGACATTTTTAGTAGCCATGGAGCTGTGGACAGCTGAGCACCATGTATTTGTAGTGGAAGTGTTTTTAAAAGTGGCAATTCCTCGGCAGGACGGCAATGAAAACCGTCAGATCATTTTGCCGCTCCCTGTACTATAGTAATACTACGTTGTAATTATTTTATTGGCTAGTATAAAAACGTAGTGTCCTTATAAACCTAACATTATACTTGTGATTACCTCATTTGTATACTTGTCTTCTTCCTGATTAACAGTAATAATACTGAAACAAATGCCGAAATTTAAGGAAAGGTTTACAAGGTGCATACACATATCAAATCAAATATATCAAATTAGATACTACTTTTACCAATATTTTTCTTTTAAGTACAGTGCATAAGATTTTTGGAGTAATTCCAGTTTAAATATAAATTAATAATGTAAGTTTATCTTGTGGTTGCCAGGTTCTTGAAGTTTTTGATTATGAAGCTCGATGTACGTTTCACCACTTGTATGGCATTATCAGAAGCACAGCATATATTTACATTGTTGTTCACACTCAACTACCTATACTATTTACTATGTACACTGTACACCTTTTGTTGGCCGAATGTAAATAGTAAATAAAGTAGTTTAGTGTGAACAACAATGTAAATATATGAACTGATGATGCCACACATAGTGGTGAAATGTACATCGATCTTCATAATCACAAACTTCAAAAATTTGACAACCGCAAGATAAGCTTAAAGTAGGTATACATCCATCCGTAATTTTTGTTTGTTTGAGAAAATCCAAAATAATATTTAAACCCCAAAAACTTTTAGGATTTTCATATTTTATTTAAAAATCTAAAACATTGAGTGATATTATCTCAAATTAACTTTGAAAGAAAATTTCTATGATTAAAATGCCACCAGTATGGCCGAAACAACCAAACGGCATAACATTAAAGGCTTCTTACTTGATTGCAAACTTACTTACTTCTTACTGTCTCTTCTGCAAACACCTTCGCCTTCCAAGACAACAATTTGAGAAGTTTGTACGAAAAAATATAGGATTGAAACATATAAAAGGTAGTTCATCATCTTGGGTTCTGTCTGGAACAAAATATCATAGAACTATCAGCTCTTACACTGTGTGTGTTTTTTTTTTATATAACTGACCCAGATTCATTTCCTTCACCCCCTCCCTCCACAGTATTAGGTGTGAGAGGCGTACTTTGGTCTTCACTTGAAAAGTTGTTCAAACAAAAATGTAAATTACAATAATATGTATGCAGTAATTCCTAAAATGACAAAATATAATTAGAATTGTGCAGTACTTGATATTAAAAGACATTAGTCAATGTTTTGAGGATGATCTAAATCTATTGGACTAAGGTAAGTCAATTGCTCAGTCGGTAGTGCCACGGATTTTGGGTCCAAGGCAGCGATGTTGTAGGTTCGGATCCTGGTATCTGCCACTACTTATAGGATTTGTTTGAAGGTTTCTGGAAGAAAAGTTGGCTATCATATTCAAAATGTGAATACAAACAAAAACTAAAAGAGAGGTGAAAATCTAATTAGATTGTCCTATTATTTGATATCTATCTGTTAGCCGCTGGACTCTAATTTTCACAGGTAAGCTAGCTGAACTTTATTCCTTTTCTAAACATTCCTTTCTAGTCAATTGGCTTTCCTTTAAAATGTAACATTAAATGTTTTAGTGTAGGTAAACTAAAAAATAAGGAGGTAGTGACAAAAAATTAGGTTTTTACTTACCTTCTTACATGAACCTTTTTTTGCGACAATATAAAGAAAAGAAAAACATTCCTTACGTTTTAATGTTTTGTGAAAAGTAACCAGTTAAAAATGTTTTTACCAGCATAGTTTATCATAACATCTTACAATCAAATGCACTTTTTATTGGTATTACACAATATTCTGAAATAGACATAAATGTACTACAAAAGGAAAACCAGCATTGTTATTTGCTGTGTTGAATAAACAATCAAACTAAAATGTTTACATGACTGGATGATTCCTACATAGTGAAAGGAAATGCCAGATAAAAGATGATAACACTAAGTGATAGCGAATCATTTCCAACTGGTAATCAGAAATTGAACTGGAAAAGGACTCATTACAGACTCAATGATTTAATAATCTTTTAAGATAAGTTTGATTTGAATATTGGACTTTCATCTGATTGGATAGTCTTAAGTCGTAGATTTAAAAATTAAAATCATTAGATGGTTGTTGCAGACATCCATATTTTGATTTAGAATATACAGATTTAAGTAGACATCACAAATATAAATTATTGCGTTAAATTCTGCAACAAAAGCCACTAATTAGTTTGTAGACAATTTGAAAACAAACGGTATCAAGTATCAGCAAATTGACACATTCTTTATCCAATCAGCTTGTAAAAACCCCTTATTATGGGTAAGCAGTGGGAGTCGAGTCGGTATGATATTTTATGAGTAATATCACAAAAACTTTAATTTTTTTATAGGTGTGTGCGATGCAGCATTTGTTTTTCGATTCAATGCATCGATGCGATTCAAAGAATTTTGATTTGAATAGATGCGATTTGATTCAATACAGCACGTCATGATTTTCCTTTAAAATTTTTTACAGCTTGCATTTCTGTAATGGATCATTTACCTTTAAGGAACATTTAAAAAAGGTTAAAGTAAAAAAATGTACTGAATAAAATGTTTTATGAACAAAAGGATAGTTGCTGACCTAACTCCTGCTGATTGACACTGCTAATTTTATGGCTGGCCTAAGAAAATCCAGACTTCACTAACAATTAGAATAAACCTATACCAAAGCAATTGTTATTATTATTGGCCTGTAAATAAAAAAAAAGAAGTTTATTTCACATATGATGTGATGTAACTTTATTTCCACTTTTATATACTTGGCTTTCAATACTTTGGTTAATTCTTAGGATCAGAAAAAAAAATTGATGATCAGTGTTTATTGTCTATTTGATACATTATTACACATTTAATAAATAGATGTGAAATTAGAAATTAAAATTAATAACAGTTTGTGTTAAACTTAAAAACTCAAAGAGATCAGTGAGTAGGCCTACCAAAAAGATAATATTTATTAATTAGAAGTAGAACTTAAAAATGAACTCTTTGTAATAAATCATTACTAGATAAATTAATTGTGAAATAAATAAATTTGTCAAATCATAATAATTAGTTTATATATGCACCTGGACAGAATCGATGCATGAAGACAAATTTGATGCATCAGTATTTCGATGCATGCTGAAATGAATAGAAATTTCAATGCATTCTCGATGCATCACCAATAATTTTTCATTATAATCTTTGCAGCATTGAGGTTGGACCATTTGGTTCAGAGTTAAAAGGCCGATAACATACTAAATTTTGATCAAAATCGTTCGAGCTGTTTTGATAAAAAAAATTGTTTAATGCACGTCTTTATAGAAAAATTACCATAAAAATCCAAATTTTCAAAAACTTTTTAGCTTGTACACATCCACACACACTCACATGGGTACAGGTACACAAATACCACTTCGAAACCCACAGTTTCAAAACTACTAGTTGTTCCAAATAGTTTTTCAAACTATCCAAGGAGTTGAGAGAAGCAGTATCCTATGCTTTATAATCTTAGGTCCCACGGATTCATTGATTTGACAGTCTTTAATTGAATGTGCAGATTTTGGTTTTTGTTAATATATATCATATAATAAAAGCTTCCTTGGTGAGGATTTTTACTTTTTAGAGGACTTAAAAACAAAATACAGGTATAAGAAATTGCATAACATAAATATGTTTTTATTATTGACAATCCTTTTACTGGATGAAAACTGACAAATTATTTCACATAATCCCAAATGAGTACATTTTCAATTTATCATAGGTACTTGGATGACAATGGTAAAAACTATTAGCTTAAAAATGAATCTAAAAAATATTTTAAAATATTTTGTTAAAAACATATAGAGAATACTGTACTCTTTTAAAATAAATTATAAAAATAGCATGTTGTAAATAAAACAGAGACATTTTTCTGGTAAAAACTATTTTGTTAAAAACTTATAGAGAATACTCTTTTTAAAATAAATTATAAAAATAGCATGTTGTAAATAAAACAGAGACATTTTTTTGTATAAAATCAACCAACCATGCAAACAGTTATATTAAATAGAGGAATAGCCTTAAACCTCAGTCCATTATGTAGCTTTTGGGTGTGAGACAAACAAAAGTGCGTCTTAGAGTACAATAAAAAAAATTACAAAACCACTAAAGTAAAATCTTTGGAAAAAATAGCAACAATAACTGGGGAAAAAATGTAATAGAAATAAATAGTACAGTATACCTGATACTTAAACATAAAATTTCTAAATCAATAGAAATAACGGTTTTATATTGGCGTAGCACAACTACCTACTTATATGATTTTAGATCTATTCAGATATTCACAGTAAATAAGTATAGGAATATGCACAAGTGGCCTGAAGTATTGTTGTAACTTGAAACAGCTGTAGTCATTACTAAGGTTCATTCTACGCAAACGTGAATCCCACTGCGGGGCATGTGACATGACCATGCCAACATTGTGTTGAAGCTACGGAATCCCTGTAACGTGGAGTCAGCGTGAAACCCGTCGGGCCATTCTACAAGAGGCGGTTCAGACGCGGGAAGGACACAGAGGAACTCGGTTGGACAACAACAGCTATTTAAACTGATAAGAAAGAAACATAAGAAGAGACAATTGTGGACACATCCAACGTTGACGTTATCAAACTGGTTGATCAGAGGGACATTCCATATCATGTTTAAGACCATCGGATGTACCCAGGTATTCAGAAAAGCTTTTTCCAGTTTTGTTATACTTTCCACAGTTCCATCCAGTTTTTTTTGTAATACTTCTCAACACCGCACCGTGTTAAATCGTTGAACCTAACACAACAGATGTGAAGTGAGGTGCCACGCGCAGTGACACTGCTACGTGTAGAATGGCTGGGCGCGATTCCTGACACGGACGTCAACGTCAAACCAGCTTCCCCGCCTAGTGCTACGTCCATCCCCGTCGTAAATCCTTCATGTAGATACGCCAATTTCACGCAACGGTTCCTGTCAAGCGCGTGGCCCCGACATGGTAATCCCATCGTGTGTTTCACGTCCGTATAGAATGAGTCTAAGATTGAAACTGATCACGGCATAACAAACTGAAATTTGTAATTATATTACTTCACCTTTGCCAACATTCAAATAAAACAGAGTATATTCACAGTTAAATTTTAATCAAAGCTTAATTTCTGACAAAAGGAGTCTTTTTTGTAAATAAATTGAAAGTTTTTAGAGGAATTTAACCGGTCCAAGAAATCAGCAACACCCTATATACCCAACTGCTTGTATCAATGAGTGAAAAATGTCTATTTATCTTTATATAGAAATAATATAAACACGATAACCCATGATAGTTCTGTTAGTTATTCAAATATGCTGATGGCTATAGAGATTTAAAGATTAAAATGTGAGTAGCAACACCACTTGAAAAAGGCACATTGACCCAGGAATAGGAATAGCTTATAATCTGTATTTATGCCGTCTTGCTTGTTTTAGTTAGCCCTGAAATAGCACAATGGTATAATATCAACGCTAAAAAGCTATTATGACTATAATCCAAATATAATTTAGCAGGATCAGAGAAAAAATTATAGTAGAACCAGAAAAGAAATAACAAGGCAACTGCTAAGTAATTATTTGAATGCCCTTAAAATCTAGGATTCTACTTTACGTGAAATAAAGGATAAAAGTTCCTAAAAGATAATATGAGATTTCCTCTAACGACAATGGTATAATAAATTGAGAAGTTTACACTCTTAAGCTGTTTCAGACTATGACTTATTGAATAAAATATACTATGGTTTTTCTGTAAAAGAGGCACACCTTTCAAAACTGTTTCAGGGTTTCCAAGCTAGTAAACAAACTCTTGAACGATATTTTAACTGGCCATAAAATTGAAGTTGTTAAGTAAAATTACTTTCCTCCTAAATGCCTTGTGTATATTCTAACCGCATAAATTTTAATATAATTTAACGATTCTCTATAAAAACATGGAAAATTTAAATGACCTAAAGAATTTAAGTATTGTGAAAAACTGTTAGATAGGTATAATAGTGTCTTAAAAATATTTTACACAGTATAAATGACAATAAACAATCCGTAAGAAGTTCTAAGACATCTAGCCTCAAGCCTTTGGTTCCACGTCTTCCAAAAGTGGACACATGTTCTCAAACTCATCGTCCATACTAGAGTCCCCGATCATCAGATTTGGTACTCGACAATCACCATTCACATCCACTGTTTTTAAATTCAACTCGGAGTTATGTTTTTGAGTCCTTCTATCGACTATATTACACTTTTTGGGCATGAAGAACTCTTCCACTGGTTCATTTTCCAGCTTTTCAACTTCAATGATCTCCAACTTAGTAGAGTTATTTAATATCAGTTGCTGCGACTCGGCGGGCTCGTTGGAAATTTCTACAATCCTAGAGTTGGACGGTGGGTAGTTGGATAGAAAATCTGTAATTTCAAAATAACATATCATTTAGCATCATTAAAGAAAGTCCAAACCAAAATACCAAACTTTGTCAGACAGAGTAAGTCAAGACTGCTATTAGAATGCAAACTGCAGTGTCAATTGATCAAAATTTCTCAAAGACCAGGAGAGCGTAGTCAAGAATATTGAAAATTTAATATTTATGCACAAGTATGAAACAGCGTATGACTTAATAATGTTCAACAAACATTTCCATAATGTATTTGAGCTTAGTTTGTAAACCATTCTCTGTAGTAAAAAAAAATCAGAAGAACTCCAACAATCCGAATCAATTGGAACCGTACCACATTCAGGTGGTAAAATATTCAGGTTATTAAATCTTTACTGAAAATGGGGGTATTTTAGGGAAAATGCTTTAAACACCAAGTAAAAATCAACCTCAAGCCGAGAATTTACTATGGCAGGGTAATTTACTATCGCGGAAGACGAAGACAGTGTTTCCATTACCACTTAAGACGATGACGATGTTTCCATGACCACGGAAGATGATGATGATGATGTCCACACTATTGCAGGTTCAGAATTAAGCCGCAATCACAACTTCTTCCATAATCTCTAATAACGATTATTTATTCTTTGCGTATCTTATTACTAGAGTTTTGGGAATTTAAATGCTTCCTTAGAGCAATTCGGATAATCGGCGATTTGGATAGTTGGAGTTCATATAATAGGAGTTCTATTGTACTTTTTATTCAAAAGTGCAGAGAAGATGTCTGGTCACTAAATTTAATAGAGCAATTTTTGCAGATGTTTTCTATCCAGGATATGTAAAAAACAAGTTGTAATGACATTTAGGGATGTGTAATCTGATTCCATCCTCAGTTCAGAAAGCAACTTAAACATAAAAATATTAGTACAGTAGACTCCCTCTAGTTCGGCCACCTCGGGACCGGACCACTGGCCAGACTACAAAACGGCCGGACTAACCGGATGTAGAACATTTTACATAATCAAAAATAGTATTGCGCAATCATGATATGTTAAGTCATTAACCTTGGTTCAGTAATAAAAACTGTAACGTTTAAAATCACGCTTGCTTACTCAAGCAAAACAAAAATTACACAACACTGTACGTACAGCAATAAATCACGTAAAGAACAGAACAATAGAAAGTCTAGTACTGCAAGCTACTGCTACCGTAGTCAGCATAGGCTACTATTACATATACATGTTTTGTTTCAGAACATAAGAATGTTGATAAAAACATTAGATAACTTATAAAACACAGCATAAAATCATAGTACTTAGTCTTAAAGATAATAACAACAGTCGTAAAATAGGATAAATATAACAATGGATGACGTAAAACACCCCTCATTCTTTCTTCTTCTTTCTTTGGTTTCTCTTCATCCACACATTCAACAAGTTGCCATGGTTACTAATCACCCAATCACAAACTGTTGTGAGATAGCAAGCGCACAGCAGACATCAATTGTGTAAAGAGCAGATGATTGTCAGTGCAAGCGGATAGCTTGACCTTGATGCTAACAATGGCTATTTCTTTGTTTTGCTTTAATTTATTTTTGTCAAATAAACCGTGGTGTTTCAAAACAATAATGGGGGAACCTACAGCATAAAAAATGGTCCGAAATATTTAATTATAGGTACATTGCATTTCAACACATTAGACTGAAGAAAAACTATTAAACTATAAAATGTTCTTGGTATTTTTGAGGTTATGTAACATAGTTTTTACATAGGTAATATGCAACAATTTACCCATAGAAGCACCCGTCAACTAAACTGACATGAATTGTTTACTTCTATGACCGGAAACTAAACATTCAAGTTGAATCCTGTCAAAGGTCATTTGCCCGTGACGATATGACTTGTCCCCCTGAGACCGGGCCGGACCATCCGGCGGCCCATCCAACCGAAGCCTAACTAGAGGGAGTCTACTGTACCTACAAAATCTAATCTAAAGCCAAAAAAAAAACTTTTAAAGAGAACTCTATAGTGGTCAAAACGGGAAACAAAATAGAGGGTAGGCGAACACAATGGACTTGTCTGCGCAGGATGGTAACCCAAGCAAATACAAATACAACATCGTGATAAACTTGTCTTTTGCTAATTGTGATGTAGTATCCCACAATAATCCTTCTAATTAAATAAACCTCTACAAAAAATTAAGAAAAATTAGATTAAAAATTACTTTACTTGTGAGGCAAATTTCAAACAACACAATTTTGAGCATGAAAACACAATTCGAATAAAGGATTTACACGAATGTCTCATTCAAATAGTTGAAAAATGCAATTGTGTGATTGTTTTTCAATCTCTAATTCGTTACGAGGATTCCAAATGTACAGATCATTCTTAGGTATTGCGAATCAATGTTTACTCACCGTTCCTATTAGGCAAAGATCTGGACGGCCTATTGTTAAGCTGAAGAAAGCGTGGAGCTCCGTTGCATTGACACACAATTTTAGGCAACCCCCACTCATTGACCTCGTAGCAGCTTCCGTAGTTGTAGCTAGAGTTGTGGCGCAACTCTCGGGAGTCCATCTCAACTACTCTCTTTGGCTTACCGAGACCCTCGTCTGTCATCATTCTGTCAGATACAGATAGATTTAAATTAACCACCAAACAGAAACAAAAAATTGAATGTACATGATATACAGACTTTTTAGGTTTTTACTGATTGTAATATTTGACAAGTAAACATATTACATCCAATTTTTCCCCAATAATTAAATACATATTAAAGTAAGATCAAACACCTCTTGCATAAAATGTTTCTACCTGGGCTGAAATAGGGGTCGGTTTATCCACCCTTAGTTTAAAAACTGGTAGGGTTAATCAACCTTTTCTAGGGATGAATGAATGAATATAGTTTATTCCAAAAAACATTGGCTACAAACAGTGATTATAAACTAAATAAAGAATATTAGACAGAGACAAAAAATATAACAATAAATAAAGGAACTAGCAGACATAGGCAGTGCTACCTGTGCGTCTGCTAAGTTGCTGTCAAATAGAAAAAAGAAAAACTATTGAATTTTGGAATGGCAATAAAGAAAAAACAATAGGTCGTTATTATTATTAGTTAAATAAGTGAATGTATTTCCATGAACACAGTGCTGGTAAGAATATGGAATAAGGAATAAGGAATATGGCAGGGTGTCTACCAGATTTCTCAAATGGAATTCCCGACTTTTTCCCGACTTTTCATTACCATTTTTATTTAAATCCCGACCAAAGATTCGGTCCATTCTCCATGTTACTACACCTTTTTCCGTCTCGCGGTCACGGTATCTTTATCAACATATGTTGTCACTCGCGATGCAGCGAAATCACTGACGATCGAAACAAATCACATGCCGAGAAAATCCCGTATCAAATGTAGGGGTGTGTGAAGCAGCAAAACATTTCAATTCAAAGCAACGATTCGATTTAAAAAATTTTTGATGTAACTCGATTCGAAGCAACATGGAATTTTTCTATTCATACTTGTCAGTGGAGTGAAATATCTGTTTTCAATCATACATTAGAAGAACCAGTATTTATGGATATATCAATGAGCTTCTTGCCTATTTCATAATTTTTACTATGCTGCAAGTAAAATGTTGTTAAGCATGTTGCCTATTTTATTTTATCGATTTTATAAATAAAGATATGTTTGGGTGTAAACATATAGAAACCTTTGTAAGATTTAAATACTGAATAACTTGTATGGCTAAGCAATGTCTCAGTGTATGCCATGTACTTGGATGGCAATAACCTGTAAGGCTAAGCAATGTCTCAGTGTATGCCATGTACTTTGATGGTAATAACTTGTATGGCTAAGCAATGTCTCAGTGTATGTCATGTACTTGGATGGCAATAACCTGTAAGGCTAAGCAATGTCTCAGTGTATGCCATGTACTTGGATGGCAATAACCTGTAAGGCTAAGTAATGTCTCAGTGTATGCCATGTACTTGGATGGTAATAACTTGTATGGCTAAGCAATGTCTCAGTGTATGCCATGTACTTGGATGGCAATAACCTGTAAGGCTAAGCAATGTCTCAGTGTATGCCATGTACTTGGATGGCAATAACCTGTAAGGCTAAGTAATGTCTCAGTGTATGCCATGTACTTGGATGGTAATAACTTGTATGGCTAAGCAATGTCTCAGTGTATGCCATGTACTTGGATGGCAATAACCTGTAACGCTAAGCAATGTCTCAGTGTATGCCATGTACTGTACTTGGATGGTAATAACTTGTATGGCTAAGCAATGTCTCAGTGTATGCCATGTACTTGGATGGCAATAACCTGTAAGGCTAAGCAATGTCTCAGTGTATGCCATGTACTTGGATGGTAATAACTTGTATGGCTAAGCAATGTCTCAGTGTATGTCATGTACTTGGATGGCAATAACCTGTAAGGCTAAGCAATGTCTCAGTGTATGCCATGTACTTGGATGGCAATAACCTGTAAGGCTAAGCAATGTCTCAGTGTATGCCATGTACTTGGATGGTAATAACTTGTATGGCTAAGCAATGTCTCAGTGTATGTCATGTACTTGGATGGCAATAACCTGTAAGGCTAAGCAATGTCTCAGTGTATGCCATGTACTTGGATGGTAATAACCTGTAGGCTAAGCAATGTCTCAGTGTATGCCATGTACTTGGATGGTAATAACTTGTATGGCTAAGCAATGTCTCAGTGTATGCCATGTACTTGGATGGCAATAACCTGTAAGGCTAAGCAATGTCTCAGTGTATGCCATGTACTTGGATGGTAATAACCTGTAGGCTAAGCAATGTCTCAGTGTATGCCATGTACTTGGATGGTAATAACTTGTATGGCTAAGCAATGTCTCAGTGTATGTCATGTACTTGGATGGCAATAACCTGTAAGGCTAAGCAATGTCTCAGTGTATGCCATGTACTTGGATGGCAATAACCTGTAAGGCTAAGCAATGTATCAGTGTATGCCATGTACTTGGATGGTAATAACTTGTATGGCTAAGCAATGTCTCAGTGTATGTCATGTACTTGGATGGCAATAACCTGTAAGGCTAAGCAATGTCTCAGTGTATGCCATGTACTTGGATGGTAATAACTTGTATGGCTAAGCAATGTCTCAGTGTATGCCATGTACTTGGATGGTAATAACCTGTAGGCTAAGCAATGTCTCAGTGTATGCCATGTACAGGGTTGTCAGCAGGATCTATAAACGAAATTCACGCATTTTTCCCGGTTTTCCCGGCTAAAAAGTACGGAATTCCCGGCGTCTATTATACTTATAAGAACGGCACAACACAAGTTACACTTATCAGCAAATTAAAAAAAAGCAAGCCAAATTGCCCAAGGGACTACGTAAGCCCCGACCGATGAAACGGTGAACACTTCGTGACACATAATTAATTAGTGACGCACTGATGGTCGGGCGGGTAAGGGGTAGCGCGGTGGGTCATTATGGGTGCCATTTTGATAACATCCACTCATAATACTATATTTGGCTAATAATTTGTTCAGAATTATCAGAGGTTATAAACTCTATTACCTTAAACATTAATTGATCAAGCTAGTACAGTAGGCTAGACTAGTCATTTGATCAGTTTCAAACTCAAATAAAGGCGACTCTTCTTACTTGTGTGTAATAATTGTTTAATAATGCTTATAAAAGGTTACTATAAGGTTGTATTACAGAGACATACGTCACTGCCACAAAAACTATTCTCTAATGTGAATGAATGAACTGAGTGTTTATTTAGTGTGAAGCCCCGCCCACCGTCTAACGGGACATGGGGTAGGAAAAGAGAAAGTTTGCTCTAAAGCCTGGTTCACATGCCCTCCCTTACCCTTGGCGTCAGCCGCTTGCAGATTCCCATTACACAAACGTTTCTGAGTGTTAATTATTTTAAAACACTGCAAATGTTTGAATTTGACTGTGATGAGGTCTAATAAAGTTTCCTCTAATTTATAAATAGGCTTAGGCCTACAAGTATTAATCTAAGTCATTTGACAGTTTTTGTATTTATTTTTAAAAGCAATTGCAGTTATACTTTTAAAAAACTACATACATCTTGACCTATAAATACTTTTTGTAAGGAGAGTCTTTTCTCTATAAGAAGTAAAATCGATCGTGGTCAAGGAATGACTGTGTTAAAACAGCACACTGTTAATTTTTACAAAAGTATTTTGACTGAAACCTGGTATTTTTTTAAAGAGTTGTAGAATAAGTCGACGTTTGTGGAGTAAAGTATGGCAATAGATAAGTTTTACTTTTAGCCTACAATAAAGATTATGTTTAGGGACTAGAATCTCCAAAAGAGTGCTTTTATAAAACATGCCATAGTTTTATTTAGTAACAAAAGTGTTTGACTATGTTCCCGATGATACCAAGAGTATAGGTTCGACAGAGTGGATTCACTGTGAACCGGCCTGCCTGGCCCTTATGCACGACGTCACTATAACTTCCGTGTAGGGGTGTCAAAAATGGATCGTAACAATCGATGTTTTGAACCTGTCTGTAACTAACCTAGTTTTTTTATACTTAAATACTCATTATGCATAAACGAACACGTACTACATATCGGATCTCGAATCACGATAAATTATCGATACCCTTCCCACCCACAATAAGCAAAGCACATAAAACGATGTCTAGCAATCGTCATTTGCTCCATTGAAACACGAAAGTCGATTGGCTGACATGGTAGTGCATTGTCGCCTCCTGACCAATGAGAACTGTTGTTACATACTTTTATTGTCAACATTCACCATTCGTTATAACATTACAAAATCTACATGGACTCGACTAAGGCTTATGATATTTTTCAATAAATGCATTGTGTCATAGTAGCACTTAAAACTTCACTAAACTCTTTAATCAGGTAGATAGTACAGATAAATATGGACCTACTTTTTGGCGCAATATAAAGCAAGCCTAACCATACGACGATGACGATGTTAAAGTTTAATGGTTGAATATTGCAGGGAGGAAACTGAACATTTCGACGTGTTTAGGTTATTTATTTTGTACTAAAAATAAAAATAATACATCTAAATGTCTGACTTATTGATACAGACATTGTTTAGTATAATTAATTTCGTGTTGGCAGGACATTCGCGCGCCGGTTGTCTCATGAGTTGAGTCTGACATCTTGAAATGTAGATTGTGTTGTGCAATGAGCTGAAGCTAAACAATGTCACCGGCACCGTCGCTGTTTTGAACTAGATAGTTTCTATGTTGGCTATGAAAATTGTTAACTGTGATTACAAAACTAATCGTGATTACAAAACTAATACTGTAGCTATAAAATTAATAAATGTTAAAAAAAATATTTATCCCTGTCGGGTGTCCGGTGTTATCGGAATCGACTTTTGACAATCGAGTCTTGGTACCGAACCGATACCAATGTCCAAGTGGTAACCAATGGATGGTGGTATCGATGACGAAAATCGATACATCCCTTTTTAGAATCAAATTGAAATTTCAATACATCGCACTCGCTGCACACCACTACCTATCACTATCACCATCACCCAGTGTCAGCTGTCACTGTCAGTGAAATGGATGACGCAAGCGATGCCTAGGTTGCCGATTATTATTAGGCCTAGTATGTCAATATTGAAAGGGGTTAAGGGATTAAATAAAACTCAAACATTTTCCTTTCTTATTATTTACTTGTCAAACATCAACGAAATCGGCTTAACCTCTACTACTCGACTCGAGTTGCGAGTATATTTAACTAAGTGCTTCCGGCGACCGGCGGCGTCGGCTTCCCGCGTAGGCCTGTTCATGGTGGTAGGTAGTGTACATCCAACTTACCTTCTGCTTCTTCCGAACCATCGCCACTCGCCAGTAAACCGTAAATTTTGGTTTACTATAAAATCAATCAAGAAAGTATTGCAAAACGGTTTATAACTATTAAAATTACTTGAAAAAAAAAACTGTATTAACGATATCAATTAAATTCACGGAATAATACGATTTACACGCATATTTCCCGGTTTTTTTCACGGCTGTTAAAATTCACGCATAATTCCCGATTTTCCCGGAATTCCCGGCCGCTGACAACCCTGCATGTACTTGGATGGTAATAACCTGTATGGCTAAGCAATGTCTCAGTGTATGCCATGTACTTGGATGGTAATAACTTGTATGGCTAAGCAATGTCTCAGTGTATGTCATGTACTTGGATGGCAATAACCTGTAAGGCTAAGCAATGTCTCAGTGTATGCGATGTACTTGGATGGTAATAACCTGTAGGCTAAGCAATGTCTCAGTGTATGCCATGTACTTGGATGCCCCAAAGCAGAATGGTTCCTACGTGTCTGCAACGGCCTGTGAAAACCTCAAAATGTGTCCGCAAGCGCTAAAACTAAAAAGCTAAATAATGACTTATATACCGGTATATATATATATATATATATATTCACTCTTTAGGGCTACTAGTAATTTAGTTAAATAAAATAAGTAAATTTCAATAACGTGTATAGCCTACTTTTAAAACAAAAAACTAAAAAACTATTAAGGGGTAGGCATAATCAGGTTATTTAAATTAACTTTTTTTTAAATACGTATATATATACACATACCTTAACAAGTGTTAACAAGGTCTTCAGAAGTAAAACTTTAAATGTACTATAGTTTCTTTATATAAACACACTAGGGATAGACGGGATTGAAATTTTAGTTCGGGACGGGACGGGACGGGATTTTTATTTCCTTCCCGATTTTCGGGACGGGATGGGACAGGATTTTTTTCTGTGCATAAAAAAAGTAGGTACTGTATTGCAGTTACCAAAAAAGACATACAAAATCAATTTTTACCATTTGTGGCACTGATCTATAAAAACCAAAAAATGGGTAACAATTTACAGGTACCTATAGAAACTTGTGACTCGCGGGTCACGGGGTGATCGTCTGTAGAACTCACGGTCACGGCGCGATCGTCGTCATGACTCGCGGTCACGGCGCGATCGTCAGTATGACTCCGCGGTCACGGGGTTATCGTCGGTATGACTCCACGGTCACGGCGCGATCGTCGGTATGACTCCGCGGTCACAGGGTTATCGTCGGTATGACTCCACGGTCACGGTGCGATCGTCGTCATGACTCGCGGTCACGGCGCGATCGTCGGTATGACTCGCGGTCACGGCTCGATCGTCAGCATGACTCCGCCATCACGGCATGATCGTCAGTATGACTCCGCGGTCACGGCGCGATCGTCGGTAGGACTCTGCGGTCACGGCGCGATCGTCGGTAGGACTCCGCGGTCACGGGGTTATCGTCGGTATGACTCCACGGTCACGGTGCGATCGTCGTCATGACTCGCGGTCACGGCGCGATCGTCGGTAGGACTCTGCGGTCACGGCGCGATCGTCGGTAGGACTCCGCGGTCACGGCGTGATCGTCGTTATGACTCGCGGTCACGGTGCGATCGTCGTTATGACTCCGTAAATGTGTCCGCAGGCCCGCGTTTCTCGGCGTTTCGTGTCCGCGACAATGTCGCAGCGTCGCTCGTTGTTCTGCTTTGGGGCTTGGATGGTAATAACATGTAGGCTAAGCAATGTCTCAGTGTATGCCATGTACTTGGATGGTAATAACTTGTATGGCTAAGCAATGTCTCAGTGAATAACTTATATAATTAATGTCAATCATTTGAATAATGTCAATAAGTTATATGGATACTGATAGTCAAAGTAACAGTATCAATGTAACAGTCAACTACGTATATGGATACTTATTCAATAACATATGGACACTGATTCAAAAAGGTATTTAGATAATGATTCAATAACGTATATGGATACTGATTCAAAAACGTATTTAGAAACTGATTCAATAACGTATTTTGGATACTGATTCAATAACTTATGGATACTGATTCAAAAACGCATATGGATACTGATTCAATAACGTATATAGATACTGGCTCAATAACGTATGGATACTGATTCAAAAACGTATTTGGATACTGATTCAATAATGTATGGATACTGATTCAACAATGTATGGATACTGATTCAAAAACGTATTTGGATACTGATTCAAAAACGTATTTGGATACTGATTCAATAACTTATGGATACTGATTCAAAAACGTATTTGGATACTGATTCAATAACGTTTATAGATACCTACTGACTCAAAAATGTAAGGATACTGATTCAAAAACGTATATGGATACTGATTCAATAACGTATATAGATACTGATTCAATAACGTAAGGATACTGATTCAATAATGTATGGATACTGATTGAAAAACGTATTTATGGATACTGATTCAATACCGTATATAGATACTGATTCCATAACGTATGGATGCTGATTCAAAAACGTTTTTGGTATATGTATTTTCGATTAATCCCACACCCCTCAAATGTAATCCCGTCCCAATGATCAGGAATATAAGATCCAGAAAATTTTTTTAAAGTTTTGGGATCCGTTCATCCCTAATTTTAAAAGGTTAGATTATTCCCGACTTTCGGCCGAAATTCATGACTTTTTCACGACTTTTCCCGACCTTTCAAAATCCCAGACTTTTTCCCGAAATTCCCAACTGGTAGACACCCTGTATGGGAACTTCCACTTTTATCTTTATCAAAAAAGTAAAACAGAATTTTGTACGTGCAAGTCTAGTTTTGTCATGAACCACAAAGGACGCACACAATAAAATTGAGAAAATGTTTCTTATATTTCATGACACAGTTAATTTAGCTTTGCTAGTAGATAATACAAAATACATGGATATACTGTAATGTCAACTAAATGTATCATGCAAAATTTAATTGAACACAGTAGATTACCTGACAGGTCGTGGCAGAGTTAAGATTTGCTCCCTCAATTCTTTAGCAATGTGTTGAGTAACTAGGTGCTTCGGCTCCTGCTTCAATATGGCCGCCATATCCGCGAGAGCCTGAAATAGAAAAGTAAGGGTTAGATATCCTCAAGCGTTTTCTTATCCGTCGATAACTGTTTTTAAGAAACAATTCACTGAATGGTTGGTGGAATGTGGTTTAGAAGAGTTAGAACTCCTTGCCACAGCTCAATAGTCAGATTTGACATTACCAACTGTTTAAAGCCACGTTCCATTTGTTATTACAAATGCTGACACACTTGTCAACCCACTTTCGTGAGCTACGCCTGTAGTGAGGATGGGATTACTACCTGTCGTAAGGTGAGGACTGTTCACACCACCCTCGCTTTATAGTCTATCTTTTGGATTTAGTTTATTTTAGAAAGCGATGGTAGATTGTTATTGTTGAGAGTGGTACAGTTATAAGTTTTTAGTTGCATATTGATCAACAAGTTGAGACAGTCACAAGGACTGATTAGAAAACAGAGGAAAAGGCGCTTTTGGGTAAAAAAGTGGATACTTGAAAAGTATGCAGAGGTGCATCGATTGATTTCATCGTAAAGTGATCGTTCAGCAGTTTACTGCAGGAACACAATTTCATTGGCTTGTATTTTAATTAAACGTGTTCCCGATGGATCCGAAACAGCATACTTAAACACTTAACAAAAAGGCACAAACAAATGCTATGAATAAACAAAACACCTTAGTGGAGGTTATTAGGCAAGTAGGAAATAATACTTCATCCACATTTGCCTTACAACATTGACAACACATTGATTGATTTTAAACAGCGCAAAACTATTTCATGAAGTCTGCGTATCAGCTTAGCATTTTTTTGATCATGCCAAGCAGCTATGGCGGATTTTTACAGTGGCTCGGAATTATTCTAGTTTCTAGTTTCACAGTTGCTTACTTAATTTCTACACTCAACAGACATGACAACAACCTTTTAAATGGAATAAAAAGTGTTTTTGACCAGAGCTGGCTTTTTGAGTGTTACGATATTTTATGTTGGGCAGTAAAACTGACCATCTGTGCAGATGGAACGTAGAATGCAAAATTTACCTGAGCTGCTCTGCTTATGACCATAACCGAATTTATATTATTTTATTTCTAATTCTTATTTTACAGCTAACCAACCGATCGACTAAAAAACATATCCATAGTCTTTCTGATCGCAAATTGATGACATTTGCTATAATGTAATTTTTACAGAGGTATAACTTTTAAGCAGATGCATAAGATAACAATTCTCTGTGATGAAATCAAAGCGTGTTGTATTTAAATTTGACTTTGAGCATACCTTTCTCCAATTTACACTCAGTCAAATTTTTATGGATTTTACTTGATTCTCTATTGCTTAGGTAATTGTTGTACACATATTTGGATAGAATAAGTTTAATCTGAACTGAATTATGGATTGTCCATAAATAAATATTAAAAAATAGCCTACGGAAGCTGGACATTTTTTATTGATTAATTTACATTTGACTTAAAGCATTCCATTTTGTGTAGAGTTTCCTAAATCCAGAAAAGTTCTAGATAATATATGGCAAAACTATCTTTTGTAACGTGATTATATTCTACTTTTGGTAATATACTATGTTGCATGGCAAGCCCTTGATTTAAAAATCCTACATAACTGATATTAGTTATTATATTTATTAATGTTTTGGTAAATACTTAATTTGGTCTGGAGGAATAATAATAGGGAACAAGGAAAAACCAAGAAGAGAATTTTCTAAGGAAGAAGATATAGTAGAAGGATAAGCAAGACATGTAAAAAAATAGGAAGAACTCTGGGTTAAAAAGAATAATGTCTGGAATCCTAACTGGAGGAAGACTTTTGGGATGACCAAGACTGTGATAGAGGGACTATGTGGGAAGAGACATGAGAAAGATGGGAGTAGAGAAGGAGGGGATGCGAAAATGAGTGAGGTTGAGGCAAATAATTATCAATGCCAAAAACCTTTTACGATTTAAGTGGCTATCATAGTAATTATAAACATCGGATATTTCATACAATAAATAGTATTTTAATGAATGGTCATTTATAAATCTCCATTCCAAAGTATACAAAAATACTAGTTATATTCACACTGAATAAAACAATTTGTTTGAAAATGCTCATGCATTGGACTAAAATACTATGCCAAACATTAGTTTCAACTTTACACCAGGAACATAATGTCACATTTCACATTTTTTATGCTTTGTATTGTTTTGAAAATAAGATCATTTATTTCCTTACTAATATTTATCATAAGAATTTTATCATTTGTACATGGTTTATTTACTTGTTTATCCACATGTACAAAATCAACAGATAAAATGGTTTTAAGTTTAATATTTCTCATTACCAAAGAGTATAAACACAGCCAACACTTAAATTTAAACAACAATTTGATTGCCAGTACATCAATAAGTCGACATTGTAAAGCCCAGAGCAGTTTTAAAGTCGAAAGGAGTAATTCAACATTTCATTTTTAGTAGTACTGTTACTATTTGTGTTTGTGTTCCTTTCTACTTCTACTTTTATTTTCTTCTAAACCTAAGTGTGTTTATTCGTTTTAAAAGAAAGAGAAGATTCCCCAACACTCAGACGAATAATCTCTGTAGGGAAAACTTCCAATATTTATCTTTCATGTACCGGTACCACTAATGAGGAATTATCCATAAACAAATCTTAATTGGCTTTCCTGTCAAAATCCAAGTTTAAAATTCAAGAAACAACATGTAACAAACTTACAAGTCTCCATATTAAAATTGATATACCAAAATAAATAACTGATTAGTGTCTCAGTCCACCATACACCCATTATAGATTTAAGTTATCATACCAAATATAATTATACTTTAAAAGGTCCTAAATGAAAATGGACTGAGGTATATGAAATTATATCCACGCCGGAAGCTATTGTGCTGATTAACAACAATAGTGAAGAAATTTTCATACTATCACTGCAGAGTCAATTTAATTCATCAAATTCGTTAACAAGATATGATTTTTTATTACATTGAAAGAAACTACTTATCACAATTACACAACAACTTATGTTCAAATATATCCCCACCCCTGTTTCTTTTATTCTTATTCTCCCTGTATCTAATCAGCTGTTTATGTTAATTTGGTTTTCATCTCCTACTGGTTTTTCTAAGGTACAGTAAACCTTCATTTATCAGATGGGGGAGTTGTCCAGATTAATGAAAACTCCATATAATAGTTTTTTAAGTTTCAAAATCTAAGCACTACTCTGAGACTGTTTGAGCTCATCTTGTAAATAATAAAAATGTTTTAAGGAAAAAGACTTTCAAATGTAGTTTTTCTAAATCTAAAAAACAGCCAGCAGTTGTGCGCAAAAATGGACAGTATTATAGCTACTTTTTGCGGACAACGATCATGGCTAGTGCTTGTACCAGAAAATCAGATTTTCAGATTTTTGTTGTACCTGCATTCAGATTTTTGGAGGCAGGGAGAGAACTGGTAGTGGTAGTGCATGGGACTTCCTTCCCCGAGGCCAGGGTTCAAAACCTGCCAATTACCGATGGATTTTATATTTAAGTGATAAACCCGAAACCCTAGGACTAGCCTGAAGTAATGTGAAAGACAATCCCAAGATAGAGCCTAGCGTACCTAAACGTGAAGGTAGGACATAATATGAATAGAATTCTCTCTACCCAAATGCTTAGAGACGATTGTTTGCAAACAGCAGCAACACAACAATGCTGAGTAATTTATAGTGGCTCATTCACTAAAAGTAAACAATGTTGAACTATTTACCTCTCTGAATTTGTTCTGATGTTGAAGCGCAACCCCTCTTCTGAAGAGAGCTTTAACATTGTCAGGCTCCAGAGCGAGAGTGCTATTGGCATCAGAGAGTGCCGCAGCGTACTTGCACTGCTTTAGATCTGGAAACAAAACAATTCATGATGCGTTTGATTTATAACATGTCTACTATTTCACTGCAAAACATAGTTTAGACTAGTGATAGTCTAAATTAGACACTCTTAACCTCAAAACCTAAACGAAAACATGAAAATCTGGAAGGCAATAATACCATCTCTTAAGACCAATCCAACAGTTTTTTTTTAAGATGGGAACCAGCCTACTTGTACCATTTATTACAGATTGCAGAAATCCTTCTAATCTCACTTTGAGATTGCAACAACAATAAGAAATTCTGAAAATACAGAAAACTTTTATTTTTATTATATTATGCTTTTAAGATTAGTCTCTTTTAAACTTCTTTTCTCCGTTGTGGTCACAGTCGACAACACAGAAGATCACTTCAGTATTGAGCTTTTTAACTGATGTTTCCTTTCAATCTACTCTCAAAAAGTCTTTTCTTAGGATAAAATATTAGTGTTATATCGTGTGAGCCTTTATTGTGTATCTATTGGGCCCTAAACTGATAGTTTTCTCAGTTTTAATGGCTAGACTCAATCCCTTACCAAAAACTATTTAAAATAGAGATTGGTGACTATTCATTACAACTTTGTCACACCCTAGTAAGATCTATGGCTTTAGTAAATCCAACACTAAGCAGTGTGTTTGTGTAACATATGAATATTGCTGTAGTTGTATTTATTTTTTGTCTAGTTCCCATCTACAGTACAACATCACTAATCCGACCTCGGATGGTCCGGCTCCTCGCATGGTCCGACCGTGCCGCCGAGACAATAGGCTTCCGCTATCATAACCTCATTGTCCAAGAAAAAAACTAGAAAGTTTTATAGAATGTGTTTTTTTTAGTGTAATGACTTAAAATTCGTTGTACATTTAACTATTTCTGCCCATTATTTATATGCAGTAGGCTCCCACATTATTGTTTTTGAACAACCACAGTTCATTTGACAAAAATAAAATGGAAGCAAAATAAAGAAATGTTGAACAATGCTTCAAGGTCAAGCTATTTGTTTGCACTAAAAATCGTCTGCTCCTTAGACCTTTAGAAACATCTGTCTGCTGTGCGCTTGCTTTGTCACAACATTTTGTGATTGGGTATTTGGTAACCATGACAACTTTAGTAGCCTGTGATTGGGTGATTAGTAACCATGGCAACCTTTTGAATGGTTGGATGAAGAGAAACTCAAGAAGGAATAGAAGAACAAAAAGACAGAATAATAAGGGATGTTTTTATGTCATTGTTATCTTTATCAGTGAATTTAAGGTGATTTTAATGTTTTTATAATCTATAAGTGGGCTACTATTATTTCATACTTTTTTATGCGTTACTTATCTAATGTTTTATCAACATTCTTCTGTCGTGAAACAGCGTAGCAGTAGCCTACACAACAGAATTATCATGATTGTGCAAAAGCCTACTAATTGTATTTAGATGATGTAGTATGCAAATTATCACATTTATGTCCATTTATACACAAAATTAGGCGTTGTTTATGAGTTAGAAATGTCATGTTGGATTAACCATGGTTTTCAGTTATCCGTGGTCTGTTAAAAATACAGTTTTACTATGTTTTTATGTCAATAAACACGTTCCTCTAATAATCCGACCTTTATGCTGTTTCGACCTTGCTCCCGGCCCGTAGGTGACGGATTAGCAAGGTTCTACTGTACATCATGCCACCATGTTACAGTACTATATCGTACCATTTTCAATAAATGGCATTGGCTACAAAACATCACCTGATTCCCTCTCCATATACATCACAACATCATCCATGTCTATTCGTCTATTCGCCACAGTCAACCTCCAGCGGTTCAACCCAAACTTGCTGTTTGTATCCGAGTCAAAGAAAAGTAAACTATTGAAACAATAATGTCCATTTACTAGAGTCATATAAAGTTGTAAGTGCAAACCACAAACACATCAGTTGCACCAGATCAGTTGTATCAGATGCACTTAAAATTAGCCTAATTATGATTTAATAAAAAAAGGGAAATAGTGAATTATCTAGATTTACAGTTGTTTCCACCATGATTTCAAAAACCTCACATTTTGATAGTAAATTAGCCAATTTTAATGTTAGGCCTACATACTTCAAACGTTATAATGATTAATTTACGTTTCAATGCTGTAATGCAATGTGTTTTTAACGTAGAAAACAACTTTCACTAAGATGAATATAGGCTACTATAACTTTGTATCGTATCATTTGATAACGCAGGTAACAAAACATGTAAATAACCGTACAAGGTAACTACACACAACAAGGTAACTAACCTATCCATTTTTTTATCCATTCTTTACATGATACTTACAGCATGCTGCTCTATTGTTGAAAGCCTTAGCTGTTGGCCATATTGCTATTGACGCGGAGTAATATTTTTCTGCTTCGATGTATTCTTTTGCTCCATAGTATTCGTTTCCGCGGTCCTTTTCTTTTTCGGCAAGTGCTTTTTTTTCTGTCTCTGACAGTTTTTCTGAAATATTTCAAAGTGTGAAAAATTTGTAAGATCTATTAGCCTATACTAAGCGACGAGCGGTACTAGCCAAATGGGTGTTAAATATTTTACCTATGGGTTAATTAAACTAGCCTTTTCAATTCAGTTATTAGAATTGAAAAGATTCACTTTAAAGTATTGTTTAATTACTTAACAAAATTTTTTGTTAGTTTACAGTACAAGTTTGGACCAATGAGGATCAAGGGTCACCACAACAAAGTTTTACGATTAATTGTAGACCAAAATCTTACATGGAATAAGCATGTTGACCAGGTAGTCAACAAAATGACTTCTGGTATCCATGCTATTTAATTAATAGAATGTAAAAATTTTGGTCAGTAGAAACATTTAAGATTATTTATTTTGCTTTTATCAAATCATCAATATCTTTTGGCATAAATATGGCTGTAAATCGAAGCAAAACTTGGATAAAATTCTTACGCTTCAAAAAAGTGCAATCAGAATTATGTTAAATTTAGAATGGGATACTTCTGCTCGTCAATATTTTTTAAAAATGGGATAATGGCTATATAGTATTTACGTTTTTCGTACAATTTTACACAAAAAAAGACTATCTAATGCTAATTTGGTCCCAAAACTTGGTGATAGTCATAATTATTTTACCCGGAACAGAAATGAAATTGCTGTCAGTGCCCATAATTTGGAGCTCTTAAACAAAAAAAACACCTGTGCAGGGAAAAGGTTTTTGGACAAACTCCCAGCTAAGGTGAGGAATATTGATAACATTTCCAAATGTAAAAATAATAAACTTAAACATTTGTTAACAGATAAAACACTTTATGGTTTCGATGAATTGTAGGTTAGTTTGATTTAGTTTTAAGCCTAGAGACGCCATTCAATGTATGCGACTGTATACCATATGAATAAAGATATTTTTTTCATTTTATTCATTTCATTTCAAGGATTGAGAGAAAAGAAGTAAAATTGTAATGCCTTGAACGTCAACTTATCAGCTGTTAAGGCCAATTTAACTGATTATACAATGAGTGAGTGGTTGGGACAATGAGTCTTTGCATGAGTCAGTGACAATGAGAGGTTATAAACAAAAACATAACCTCTCTTAGACGTTATGGAACTTGCGTAATTAGCTTTTAAGACACCCGTAGATGTTTTAAAGGCACTCGCCAAGGCTCGTACCTTAAATTTTCTACTCATGTCATAAATACTATATCAACGCGATCGTTGTGTAAACTATTATGCAGCAGATTAAAGCCGGGCAGCAGATTAAAGCAATGGTACATAGAACAGGTGTGATAATAGTAGTTTACGCAACGATTGCGTTAAGTGAGTCTTTACGACACGAGTAGAAAATTTAAGGCACGAGCCTTGGCGAGTGCCTTAAAAACTTCTACGAGTGTCGTAAAGACTATTAACGCGAGTTGCGTACACTACTTTACCTACGACAGTTTTTTTAATTACTATCAATCTGGATTTAATTACTAACAATCACTAATGATAACTTTTTAGAGAGGTTATGTTTTCGTGTATTGTCATTGCCACTGAAAGTGATGCAACGACTTGTTGTATAATCAGCTGATTTCCTGTAATTACGTGTTTGTTAAACTTCGTTAAATATTACATTGCTAGCAGCATTCTTACCATAAATAATATTGTATCAGGTACAATTCGGCAAATATTTCATTTATTTTTGGACTTATATACGCGAGTATCAACATGAACAAGTGGGATCAACAATTAAATTGGTCAACTGATCAGCTGATCAGCTGATTAGTTGACGTTCGAAGCATTACAATTTTAATTCTTTTCTCTCAATACTTGAATCTCATTGGTCCGTTACCTGTGTGGATATGAGAAAACTATGCGGATATGAAATGAAACTATGCGGATATGAAAGTAAACAGCTGTAAAGTGAAACTTTTCAATTCTAAGAAGTGGACTGAAATGGCTACTTTAAAAAACGGTCGTAGGTAAAATACTTTTCCAGATTGAGGTTCTTACTTATGTGGCAGTTTTTTTGTAGGCGACTGTTAGAAAATTATTTGGTACAGCTTCTACAGTCCCAAATGATTCTGAGATGTTACACAATATTTTAGACGGAGAATACATTGATTCTGACCAATCAACAGGAGACAGATCAATTTGGAGCTATCCTGTAATACTATGGGTTGGATTTGTAATTTAGCTCAACACCATTAAATAACTACAACTTTAAGTTTGGTTTTGATAAGTTAGTTATTGAAAATAAAATATCGTGCTATTTAGTCCAGGAGGCCAAAAAACCCCTGGACAGAGCTGTTAAAGGACCAGATCCTTTTCAGCCGAACAAGCATGCACCTTTATTTTTCACTAATTACAATTTAGGCTCTAGATATCAAAATTGATTGATGGAATCGCTTTTAATTCAAATAAATCTAGTACTTGTTTAGGAGTAATATAGATATTATCTAATAAATAGTTAAGAGGGATTTGGCCTACTTATGAAATTTCAGTGGATTGTCAGAAGTAAATTTACAGCTAAACATATGGTATGATATGGTAAATTACAATACATACATAAACTATTTTAAAGCCTATTACAATGAAACTATCTAAATACTAATATTTTACTACTAATATCTAAATACTGAAATCAGAAAGGTTATGAATTGCGTTGAAAAGCACTAATTAACATATTTTAACTAGGTTACTTGTAATTTACCTGCTTCTTTAACAATCAGCTGAAGCCTCTCATTTTCCACCTCTTTTAACCTTTTCACTTCTTTTTCTTTCCCAATATCTTGTTGAACCTCCAAATCCATCTTTACAATTTCGGTATCAGCATCATATTTATCCCATGTGTTGTAATCCGTGATTTGGGGTTTGGCTGTCTGTTTATTCGCTGTCTTAACATTTGTTAAATTATGTGACAAAAATTTAACTGTTGGTTTGGTAATGATGTTACAATTTTTAAGAAGGTTAAATTATAAACAGTAGCCCTATCTATCAAATATGTAAAAAAATCTTTTGCAAAGTTAATTTTTTGAATTGAACAATGTTATGAATGAATGAAAACTTGTTACTATGTCAACTAGATGTCCACCCAAACTGGCATAAATATAGGCATTAGACCTTGATGAGAAGTCAGCCTTGATAACAAGTTAATTTGTAAATGCCCTAGTAGACCAGGCCCTGGTGGGAGTTGAGTATGCAAAATTATTCGGATGCACTTTTTCTTTTGACTGTTGTTAAGGACACTTTGGATAGTAAGAAAACGCATGTTGCCACGATCGGCGTTGGTCGAGTACCAATATGGCTGCCATCCAATATGGCGGGCCACCTGCCCTGACCTTGATCGAGAAAAATTCTAATAATTCCATTGTTTTTCGTCCGATTTTGATAATTTGTTTAAAGTTGAAAAGAAGAAGAAATTCTTCAAAAGTCTATATTACACTTAACGTTCAATCCAGTTTGATAAAGTGATAAATTAGATTTTAATAAAGATTTTACTTTTAAAACAGATTAAATGTACGTTGAGGTGATTATATTTAAGTTTTTTTAGTAGGGATGGGTAGCAGAGAACAATTTCAGTTCTGGCGGGGAACATGCAACTTGAGGTGGTTAAAGTATACAAGTTCCAGGACGTAAAACCGTCCAGACCCCAATTTTTAAGGACCTTGGTCATCCGCGATGACGTCATCAAGATGGCGGCTATAAGAGGATCCTGGGTTGCCATGAATTGGTTATAACATCCAAATGCCTGAACCAATTTTAATAAAATTTGGCATACAAGTGCTTCAATCAATACATTATCTCGGCCCAGCTTGGCAATGGTCGAGTTTGATCAAGTCGTTTCAAAATGGCGGCCGTTAATAGCTAAAATAATAAAAATGTTTTAGTGTTTTGTGTGCTCAACTCCCGCCAGAGATCTGCAGCAACTTATTCATTTTCCTTGCAATCATAGGTTGTCATTTTCATGTCTGCATTTTATGGAATGGTCAAAATACCCCCACTACTACCATCCCTACTATATTGTCTTTGATAGCTACGGAAAACTTTTACCTGTATGTTTTAATATATTTACCCCTGGAAATTAGTAATATATTATAAGAAATTATGGTTAAACTGTGTATTATAAATTGTATAGTAACATTAAATCGTGATTTTGGACATATTTCGTCAGTAAAAACTAAAATATAATCACCTCAACGTAAGTTACATTTAATATGTTTTAAAAGTAAAATCTTTATTAAAATCTAATTTATCATTTTATCAAACTGGATTGAACGTTAAGACTTTTGAAGAATTTCTTCTTCTTTTCAACTTTAAAAAAATTATCAAAATCGGACGAAAAACAATGGAATTATTAGAATTTTTCTCGGTCAGGGCAGGTGGCCCGCCATATTGGTACTTGACCAACGCCGATCGTGGCAACATGCGTTTTCTTACTGTCCAAAGTGTCCTTAACAACAATCAAAAGTAAAAGTGCGTCCAAATAATTTTGCATACTCAACTCCCACCAAGGCCTGGTCTATTTGATATCAAGGTTGAGATAACAAGTCTTATTTGATAATCCCTATGAGAGCCTTGTTACAGTATCGAGGTTCTATTGTATTGAAAGGTGAACATTTTTTAAGTTCATACACATGTTGCTTTCAATTCAATTTTCCCAGGTATCTTTTACAATAACAATATAGCACTCAGAGGAGAATTTATGTAATTTAATATTTGAGTACTTATTAACCCTTTCAGTGCTAGGCCAATAATTTGTATTTAGTAAGACTTTTTTGTTTGCCTTTCAATTCCATTACCTGTTGTTGAATTTTAACTGTAATGTTGTCACTATTTTATTAATTGGGCTAATTTTGAATAATAAGACAATAAGAAAATATATAACAAAGATAAATCCCGGTATTTGTAGTAAACATTAAATAAAACTTAGTATTTGTTGTAATTTTCCTGGTTTTCCTATACATTTTTATGTTCTGATAGCATTGTTTGAAACCAAAATCTCATAAAATCAAAAGACATATAGTTTACAATGTAATATTGAATTTAACTTTGATTTAGTTGGACGAGGTTATCGTAATATAGCCAATTTAGGGAAAATATTGTTTTGCAGCAAAGTCTCAGGAACACATTTATGATCACTGTTGTGTTTCAACTGAAAAATATCATCTAAATAGTCCGTGACGAACTAGTGCTGCTACCTAGTAAGGCATTGAACAACCATCTGTAGCGCTATCTGTTTGCAATCGGTGGCGTCAGCTTAAATACCAGTTTTTGACTCCCCAGTCTTCAAGCACAGATAGCCGAGAAGGCTAGGGCGTGTGTCACTTGGCCAGAGGCATTCGTCTGCTCGGGTTCGATTCCCGTCCTGTGTGGCAAATAATTGGTGACCTGTGTGTTTGTAGCGATATACTACAACCACTGGGGCATAGTGAGGTGTTCATAATCCTTGGTTAGACATACACCTCGAAATCATCGGATTGGGCGAATCTTTTAGCTAAGTGGTTGTTAGTGTATCCTATGAACATGCAGGTCACCAATGTCCGTTTTGCTACTTTTTGTTAAAATAACCTTCCTCTCTATAGCCTATCCCTTAGAGATTTTTTAAAACAACGATATATCGTTTCATAGCACTGAAAGGGTTAATTAATTTAATTGTTTTATTAATTGTGTACACTCTTACCTTTGCCATGTTACTTTTTCCATTAGGAGGTTGCCTTATTGGTGGGGCATCAATTCCACCAACACTATTATTATTGTTGTTTTCTTCAGTGAGTCGAAGATCCCTAACAGATATGTCTCTTTTCCAGTTCTAAAATAGACCAAATTAGCCTTTTAGTATTCATCTTACATGATAATTTTTTTTTATTTCTGTAGGTAAAACACTTCTTTAGCTAGGCACTTCATAAACTTAAGGTTGTAATAAATAACCTTCAGTACAGTAAACTTGTAGTAAACTCTAAAATTAAACATCCTATATACATGGCTCTAGCTTTGTTCATACTGTGAAGACTTGGCAATGCACCAGGGACAAGAAGAGCAAGTAAATGGCAATCATTGACTTTATAATTCATAGTCTGAATCTCGGGTTCATTCCGCAATTCAACCTCCAATAGTGACATCTATCAACTTTGAAGCTAAAGCAATTAAGCAGCGTCGGCTGCCGTGAATGTTCAATCTATTGAAACCTAATCACAGGTTGTATATCAAGGAAATGTTTTAACAGTGGAAAACTCCCCTAGGGTATTATAGTTACACCCACTGCTTGCACATGGTAAGAGTTGTTGACAATTAGAGAAAGTATGTGTCAGATTGCAGATTGCTGTTACTGTTTATTTTTACTGTCATAGGTGAGATATTTTAAGGTCATCCCAATATATTGTGGGTTGGGGTTGTGTTGCTCTACACCATCGACTATAATTTTTAAGTATAAGATAAGCTTGTCTGCATTCAAGGGAAAGCACGAAACTTCAGTTTTTAATGGATTTTAAGCTTCCAAAAATATTTTTCGTTCTAAAATATTCTTTGGTGGTTATGAAGTCATTAGTTAGTGCTTTCTGTACTTGAGGTAGCCTATTTAGGCCTACCTGCTAAGCATATACCAAGGCAATATCACGAGCACTGAGAAATGTCTTAAAAAATACTTGACCATCCCCGCAGCACGCATTCCTTGAGGTATCTAACAGTACTTTTCCTGTGTCCCAAATATCCATTCATAATTCCTTCTAGGTGACACAATTTTTATACAATAGGACACAATATGCCCTATTACTTTATTTTCTAAAATAGGTACCGATGAGATTTGCGAAAATTAAAATATTTGAGGCAACAAAGAAAAGAAATATTTGAAAATGACTTACCGAGACATCACTTGTGATAGTATTCCATTCTTCAGTAGAGAAATTATGGTTGATTAGAGCTGGCTCTGTGATGCGCAAATGTCGATTGTTTGGACTTAGAGTTTGCAACCTTTCTTCTGCTGTCTTTTGCAGATCAGGGTAGTAACCTTCTTCACCAGACCTAAACAAACAGTTACGTAGCTTATGTACCGTATTTATTAGAAAAATATAACAATTAATAAGTTAAACAATTAAACGTAGATAAACCTTAAGAACAGTTCTCTTGGATGAAACTAATTAATACTTGTAGTCTTGATCATCCAAACTAATCCAGTCCCGGCAAGGTCAGATGAGCAGTAAGCTCGATTCAAAATAAAAACCTTTATTGTCCCTGTTCGTCAACATCTACACAAATGTAAAAGACAACATCAAAGTACATGGTAGGCCTAGTTTTAACACAATATAAGGTCAGTCTAGGATGTGAAAAAAATTGGTAATCTAGTTAAGTTGCATGAAACAAAAGAGTTAGGCCTACAGACAACGAGTTGTGCAGATATAAAAAAAGTAACTTAACATTAAAATGTTAGACTGAAAAGCAACAAGTTTTATAAAATTTAACACAAAAAATAATAAAGAACATTGTTAATATGTTTAAATCAACAAATGGATATTGTCTTTATTTTCTTCTATTGAAACCACTAACTTCTCCTATTTTGTGGCCTTTATCGCAAATTACATCAACCATAACCTGGAAAGAACAACTACTTTTATTTCAATGGTAAAAGATTTACAATAAAACAATACTGTCCACTGATAGGTGTATCTGCCATAGTACTTTGGATTATTATATTTTTTTTATGTTTGTCAAAACTTAATGGTAAATCATAAATGAAATTAAGTAGATTCACAACCTTTAATTTAAACTGATGTCCATAAAACATTATGCATTTTTTAATCAGGCTAGCAAACTTTTTGGCTAATATTTTTCTTATCTTGTTGTTCTACCATTTTGTTCTGATCAATCAGAATGAAATGAGATTCAGGAGTACTTTTTTACATATGTAGGCTATATCTGAAGAGTTTCAAGAGTTTGTAGCATGTTCGATACATCTTGTACTGTCCGCGAGAGTAAAGAAGTCCCCTGAGCTCCGGCCTATTCGAAGTTTGAAGGCGTTACGCTTGAACGTTTAGCGCGACAATTATAGCCGTCTTCACTCTGCTCTGCTAGTTGTTAGGCTTAACTTTTGTATGTAATATCTGTATGATTTTTATAAATCTATGTCATAATATTTTTTTGCATAGTCATAAAATCGGTGGAAAACCATTTTCTAGTGTTACTAAGACAAACTAATAACCTTTCTACTTTATGATTTTTGTTTAGTTAAATGTAATAATACGTTGAACAATACCAATAAATGACTATGACTATGACCAATGACTATGACTGAATTTGGAGGGAAATTTGGCAATACACGCAGGGGCGTCGCCTTGTGGGGGGGGGGTAGGGGGTAGGGGGGAGCCTCCCCCCCCTAGAATCTGGGAAAGAGAAAAGTTGGGAATTTCCTTGCCACGAGTTGGGACAGTTGGGAAATCAGATACAAGAAAAATATATTTTTAAAGTAAATAAAATTTAAATATTTGCGAAAATCCATCAAAGATCAAAATTTCTTTGACTTGGACGAATAAACTTGATGTTTCTTTGATTTCATTTAACTTTGATTAAACTAGGCTAAACCATGGCTAAACACGTCTTATTTTGAGAAATCAATAATCAATTAGCGGTATAGTTTGTTGGAATTTCATTTACGAGAAATTTTATTCCTTATTGGACGTATGTTGGCTACCTTGATCCTGTCCTGTGTTAATGATTTTCTGAATGATTCGTCTGCGAGACTGCGAGTTTGAATTTTGAAAGTGCAAGCGATGTAGCTCTTCAGTTCAATTATGTTGTTAGTTAGTGTTTACAAGAAATTCAAAAATATTTTTCATGTCAGTCACATGAACTATATTTTGTACCTTTTTTTGTAGTATTTGGAGCACGCTAACTGACAGGAGTACTTGCTAATAGGTAGATTAAAATAACATTAAAGATAGGTTTTGTATATCGGTATTACCTTTAAAACTCTCATTGAAATATTTATTCTCTGAATATATTTTAGAATATATATTTTTTTTTATCTACTAAAGTTATTTATCATTCCTAATTAAGAATTTACAAAAATGAATCAACTAATCACTCTGAAACAGATCTACGTAGACAAAACATAACCTAAAATTTGATGTTTGACTTTCACGTTTGAGTTTGATTTTTGTCTAAGTTCTAGTTTGATGAAGATGAAGGTTAACATTTTTATTTTATGTATAAGTTTATTATCAACCTAGTTGAAAGTTTTTATTTTATACAAGTCTTATTTTAGGTTTATTCTTTTCTAGACTAGAATAATATCATTCACAACACTGATATTAATATTTCATCATTACAAACTTGTTTAGGCCTAGTTGTAAGTTTTATGAAAGTTAAAGTGTTGATCTTAATGTCAACTTCTAAAAGTATTTTAATTTCATTATTTTGTAACAAAATATTTTTTTCTAGGCCTATACTAATTTGTACTAGGCTTATTTTATATCCCTAAAATGTTACACTAGGTACTACTACAATTTTTTGTAAAGTTTTTTGGATTTGAAACAATACTTATTCTCTTATTCAAGTTTTTGAAGTCATAAAATTTCATTATGAATTGGTAGAAGTATTAGACGTTTTTTGAATTGAGTACCTAATTTTGTATATATGTAAAACTAGGTATGTTTTTTTAATGCAAGTTAATAGATACTGAATTGAGTGTGACTGCAGCAGTGTAGTATAATAATTTGTAGATTTTTAAAAATAGTACAGATTTTTTTTTTTTTTTAATAGTTGGGAAATCTATGTTAAGCAGTTGGGAAATTTGAGGCTTCTCCCCCCCCCCCCCCCCCTTAGAATTTAACCACGCAACGCCACTGAATACACATTGCCTAATCCATTTTTCAAAGTTGGAAACATTCATTTGGCCATGATTGTCACCACCTTTGGCACTGTTTGCCATATACATAAGCCAACCCCCCTGCAAAACCCCTTCGTTTGACCCAATGTCTGACAATCACACAGTTTGACGCGTTCATATCAGGTTTTATTTATTTTACATACCAACGGACAACTCCATTTTCACATTCATACAACAAAACAAGATGGAAACAATAATAAATAAAAATAATGTAGCATTCTCTACACATTATTGTTAACAACATTTACACACCATCGACGTCTACACTGTGCCAACATTTCTGGAACGTTAAATTACTGTCCTTCCAATTTTCGTCCAGATATAAAATTTTCCTTTTTTGTTCCCTTATTTCTTATCTCTCGCAAATACTTAAACCTCCAATTAACAATGTCAGGCCTTTCAATGAAACATTTTCTTCTGACCACATTTTTTCCACTTGAACCCCGTATCTTTAATAGTCGCCAAAATGCCCATTTAAAATTAATTCTTTCTCTCAAAATAGGTAATAGGTTTTTACATGTAGGGACAATTTTTTGTTCGTGTAAAAATCGCGTATTTAATCTACGATTACACGCATATCAAAGCTATCTATTTGCACTTTATGGTTTCAGCCTTCTTGCGTTTTTTCCCGGGTGAACATATTTTTGTATATTAGCACCACGTTTTCATCCAGAGCTACAAGGACCGTCCATAACAAAACAGAACTCACTACGCGAACACAGGAGACTGCACTGAATCAAATGACGTGACCACATGATGATAATCCACTTACTAAAACAAAGATATGAGTAATTATGTTTACAACAGTTGTTTACATACAGACATCGAGGCGAGGCGCCCAGATGCTTAGCGCCTGCAAATAGTGCGCGATACCCTCCAAACATAGCTGCGTATCGCTCTGGCTCAAGGGACTTCTTTACTCTCGCAGACAGTATATGAATTTTAAAATAGCAACCTCTTTGTGGACACTTTGTAGATTATATAAATGTAATCAAAAACAAAATGTGCTTTTTTTGGCCACTGGTGACATCAAAATGAATTTGTAGTTATTGGTAACATTGACACTAACTATTAACTAACTAACTAATTGGTCCCATTTCATGGTCTTACCATGCCACCAACAGCAGCAATAGCTTTTCACTATCAAGGAAAATCACTAACATGAAGTAGGACTAGGTTCAGACTATTTAGTCTAAGCACTCAATGCAAATCATGAAATTATACATCTGAAAAAGCAATGAGTGCTATGGCTATACTTTTTTAAAACCCAGAGTAAAGTGGAACCAGCAGTGGCGGATCTAGGACCTTGACAAGGGAACTGGGGTGAAGGGGAGTCCAAGGGTCTGTTACCAAAAACTTCCTTTACGTTTTAGGACAAAATGTAACTTATGTAATTGAATTAATTTTTCCAGGGCCCAAAGGGGGGGACTTTGGCCACTTAAACCTCCCCACTGGAAACCAGTTGACCTAATAGCCTCTATTGAGCAGTGTTGGGGAAGCTACTTTTAAAATGTAGCTAGCTACAACTACTGCTACATTTCCTTAAAAGTAGCTTAGCTACAGCTACAGCTACAGTTCCGAAAAAGTAGCTAGCTACAACTACAGCTACAATGAAATGTAGCTACAGCTACAATTTTAGCTTCTTTTCCAAAGACGTTACTTTTTATTCCACACACATTAGGTAAATGTTAAATTAATTTCAACTTCATTTTTATTGAACAAACATTTAAACAAAAAATGTCACATTAACTAACATTACTTGGAAAACAAATTATTCCTTGAGTGTATTTAATTTGTTGGCATTATAAACCGAACATTACAACAACAGAAACAAATAGTTGGGTGTCCCATCATATTAAGTACCTACTTATTTGTAAATGACTTATTGCATTATTTTTAAGCAACTTATGTAAATTTCATTAAGTTCAAAGGACACACAACCAAACTATATTTTAAAAGCTCATTTTATTTCTTAAATATAGATTCATTTATAGATGTCTTATATCAACAATTAAGACCAATAAAACTGTAAAACGATTATTTAAAAATATTTTTTGTTTTACAGAGCCTATAGCCTACTGAAATTGGAGTTAAATTGCCTTTCTTTTCTTTTAATGTTAAAAACGACATTGCTATAACTTTTAAACATAGTGATAATTTACTTGTTCTATGAATAACACTTTTCAATGTCAAGAAATCGTCCTTTATTGTCATTATGCATAGGGCAAATTGTGCTTCAACCTAGTTGGCACAGAAAACAGTATTCAGCAACTTATACTGAAATCGGCTTTTAATTTAAACATGTTGAAATTTGTAAAGTAACAAATTTGAAAACAACATGTAGGCCTACTTGGCTATGTAACAAGTTGGCTATAGTAGGATTGTTCTTGCAAGGACTAAACAGATATATTCATAATAATTGAACTTGGAACTTGGCATTCTTCTTAAACCATAGCATAGCATAGGAATAGTCCTATACAAGAGCTGTTAGCAGGAGCAAACTATGCTATTTTTTCAATGTAAGTTTCATGTTATATGGGGATTTTTTCGTTACAATTATCATGTAGTCTAGACATCTCAAGTAATTTCCTCTCTGTTAATTTAGTAAACCTTTGAACAATCTTCGTAATCTAACCAAGGAAGGGCTTGTGATGATGAACCAATATCAACAGCTGAAGCAAAGGTTGATAGACTAGCTTTCTCATTATTTTAAGGTTTAGTGTTGGTTTTTGGTTTCCATTAAAACCCAAGTTTAAACACTATCGATGTAATAAAGAAACTATAAATTGACTACTAATTTCCCTGTCAATCACTTGCAAGCATTCAATAGCTTCTCTTGTCACCGGTAACGTTTAAACGTCGTCTGCATCTAGTGATTTTATTTCATCTGACAGTAATCATAGAGTAGTAAATTAAGGAAATGAGAGCCAAAAATGTGGATAACACTCATTTAATGGCCTCCATGTCCACACAACGTTGTAATAGGGAATGAAACGGCTGCAACCAGCTGTATGAAGCCAAGAAAGTAGGCCTAATTTTTTTTTTAATATCTCAGTTTGAAAGAGGTTGTTTCACGTAAGGTTGAGGTTATGATAAAAATCACTATCTCAACCAATGTTAATGTAGCGAGAAAAGTAGTTAAAATTCCGCTATAACTACTTTAAAAATGTAGCTAGCTACAGCTAAAGCTACAAAATCTTAAAAGTAGCGTAGCTACAGCTAACGCTACAAAAAAAGTAGCGCGCTACTGTAGCGTCGCTACTTGTAGCGCGCTACTTCCCAACACTGCTATTGAGTGCCCGCAGGGCTGCATAGATGGCCTAGTCAATGAGTAGGTAGGGGTTTCAATTCCAGGATCCTAGGATCCCAAATCCCATTAAGGTTTAAAACCCTTAAAATCCCAGGATTAGCATAAGGTAATTTAATTTCAGAAATAACTTAACAGGATTACAATAGGTATCAATAGTTTTAATTCATTTTTTGTTAACTTTACGACACGCAGACAACGCATTCGATTTTAAACATAAGGTGGCAAACAGTGATTAAAGTAGGCCTAGGCATATTATTTTCTTATTTATACCATCTTATCTTTGTAATTTGTTCAAGACTAGTGCACTATTAATAGGCCTAATGCTTTGTACCTACACACTCTGCTGCATGAATTGATGTTTTGTAATTTTTATCTCCAAGTGTTATTTTGCTATCATAAAATTTTTACGGTACGGTAGGTACTTTGATATTATACGGAAGCCACCTAAAGATGTAGGCCTAAGATAAAGGTATTAGGTAGATATAGGCATAAAGCGTGATGCGGCGGTCATGTTAGGTTGGGTTATCATTAGAAAAAAAGACTCATCTGATATCGTTCAATTCATAAGGAAATGAGAAAAGTCCTGCAAACATATTTATGATAACCCAACCTAACATAACTGCTGCAGCACGCTGTAAAATATGTGGCCTCCGTACAATAGGCCTACCAAAGTACAAATTTTTCTGCTGCAGCTGATTTTTCCCTTTTATATTTTTTTCCTTAGAAGTTAACTTATTTGTTTTATTGAACTAAACAGTGATAGGGTATTTGCGTTTTCGTTTTAACCCAGTAACTTAGGCTAACTAGTCAAAGCACATAGATGTGCAATTTTGCGAGTTAAGTGTATGAAAAGTGAAGGTGACATTAAAATGTGAGTGCAGTTGCTTGGGTTTTCTTTTTCTGTGTTTCATAAATTCTACAATGGTCAAAATGTATAGGCTAGGCCCTAAGTTATTTTAACAACAAAAAAATACTGTTAAAAAAATAAGAATATGCTGATATAATTAATGTCCAGTATTTTAAACTCCTGTTCATTTAGATAGTAAATTACTAAACTTCATGTGAATAGTTAAATATTTGGACACAAATCTTACATAACTTACTAGGTGGGTTAGGCTAGGTGTTTCTAAGAATTCGCTGATTGACTTCAAAATTCCTATTGATAACTTAAACAAATTTGCACAGAGATAGAAGTGACCAGGCGACCACCTGAGTAGCACTTCGCTCACTCAATGGAATTGAGTAGGGAGGCTAATGGAGCGGTCGACTGGTTCCGTCTTGCTCTGGGGTGAACAATATCCATAATTGTGCTTAAACTAAGGTGCAGCTTTGCAAATAGTTTAGGCTGCAGCCTAAACCTAGGCTACTAAAGCAGCTCATAAAAACAAATTGAAAAATTGTCTCACCTTAATATTTTTACAATTCGTTCAAGTTCTTTGACGTCCTTACAAGCACCAATATATTCATAGCTCAAGTTATCAATAGGGATTCCATAATTTGCTAACAATGACTTTTTCTTTAAAGTAGGGTTAGATCTAGAAACAATTCCGTTTTCTTCAATCATGATTAAGGTTAGTAAAAGTTGTGTATTTCCTTGAATTAAATTTGGAGATACTTACATTGATATAATTACCATAACAACGTTTTTTTTATATAATAGATATTAATTTTAAAATGGTTTAAAATACGCAATAATTCTGACTAGGACTAGAATACATGAAGATGGAATTAAGAAGAACGTTCGACGTTCGCGAATCAGAATCAGAATCACGACACGAACCTCCAACCGAGTCAACCAAAAGGCGAACAGCAACAGAAACATAAAGTACCAGACCGAACCGAGACCGGAATACCGGACCAGACCGAGACCAGAGAGAGGCCACTCCAGTCCAGAAATGAAATTCAGAAATAGAAAGGGTTGCCAACGATATATCGATATAACTAAATACTCGGTATTTTGCCACCGATGTTTTGGACTTACAGTCAATTAGGAAAGTAGATGTTTTTGGAACATCGGACTTTTTCTTTTCCTAAAATGTTAAAAAAAGAGCATCTCCTCGTCACCCACCACAGCAAAGCAAACCGTCAGACTAGGCGAATTTACCTGATTGTATATTTTCACTAAAATAGATATTTGCAAATGGCAGATTTATTCCACGGCAATCGTGTCTATTCCCTATAAGCATTAGGTAAGAGAGTACTTAGGCTTGCTGCTACAGGGATGAGGGAAAGTTATAAAATGTGTTTTTGTCAGATGTTTGGTATTAAATAAATTTGTCAAATTAGATCAAAATCAAGTAAGAGAAGTTATATTCATACACAAGCAATCTACTACTGTTAACTTATTCTTCATAAAAATAAAATAGTAGTTTACATTTATTTATTTTTTATTTTACCCGTAATCGTTAAGTGTTTAGCAATGTTTTAGTGTATAAAATTATTTGTCGTTATGTTCTACAAAATGATATGGAAATAAATTGCTATTTTTTTATTAGGGGTTCAGGTACAACTTGTGTCAATATGGTGATCTTATAGAGACAATACACTACGAAAAAAGTTATATCATTTTGAAATGTGACAACGTCTACATTACAGGATGAAATTACTCATTCAAAATTATTGACCTTTACGATTAAAAGAGTTGTATTTTAAGTTCATCAACTTTTGAGTTAATTGTTTCCAAAAATCTCCTTTCCTTTTATTTAGCCTGTGTCTGGCACAAAACGATCACAACGAACGACACAAAAACCCTCTCGCTTGAATTAATCTGAACCCGTCGATATTAAGAATATATCCATAGTAATTCTTGTGTTGTAAAGCAAAATCGTTTTGTATATTAACACTGTATGTGAGTTAAGACTATTTTTATTTGAGCCCTAGAGCAAGGTAATAACAGCATGCTTACGACAAAGTCACGCTGATACAAGTAGTTGTATCATCATGAACTTACCAACAGAAGTAGACTTCTAATCTCAATGTAAAATCTGAAGTTTTTTTTCAGTTTTTCATGTATAATATCGGTTGAATTCTCGCTAGAACACGCACGATATATAGGGGATTGAAATATTGGAAATACAGATATTTAATGTCCGATATGATGTATATATTGATAATTTCCTACCTAACCGATCCTTCGATACACCGATATAATATTGAGAAATAAATGTTTTCATTGCTATTCAGATTTCAGATTTAGAAAACACGAGTGATCTTGCATGTAAACCTTTTATTGTTGTAGCTTGATTGCATGTATCTTTTGATTTCTTTACTTGCTATATACAATATTGACATGATCTATTGAATAACCTTTAGTGATAAATTACTTCTATCTATCAATCTATAGTGACTATAGCGAGCCCTGTATCACGGCCGCCTTTAACTCCAGGCCGCGGTCTTCGAAGTGGCAACGTCGCAAGTGGTGTTGTAACAGCTGTTTTTTTTTGGAAACAGCTAATAGTATTTGTGTATTTTTTAATAATATGAAAGCTTGTTTACTGGGCTATGAAAATATTGAGTCTACTTAAATATACAAAAATAGATTTTTAATTTAAATATTGTTTTGGTTTTCAATTCTATGTGTTTTATTTTCAATCTTTTAATAAATTTATGTTCATAAATTTAAATTTAAATGAATAATACGGAAATTAGTGAGCTGGTGTCACCTGTTTGCCATGTTATCTTATGGGACGTCTGGCGCTATACAACACCACTTGCAACGTTGCCAATTCTACCAGGTCGTGGCCTGTAGTTAAAGGTGGCTGTGCCTGTATCCAAACTGTTTACTGTGGTGTTGTAATGGGATTATGGGAAGACAAATTCATAGCCTGGAGAACCACTCGCTAAAAGCTTATTGGCATGAGACCTTAACAAATTTATTGAAGAAGAAGTGCGCACTCTGTCAAAACTGCCACGTTAAGCATAATTGCGGAGAATCGTTTAATCATTCAAATTAACTTAAGCTTACTTCTTAATTTTTTACTGTAGTTGCTTTAGTCTGCTATGTTGGATGAATGGTTTCGTAGGAATAAAAAATGTAATAGTTTTAAGCGCAGTAACAATAACATAAAGAAATTAAACTGATTTTGCACTATCAAAGCAACAAAAATCTAAATTACAGTTTTCCTTGTCAAGCACAGTATTACCCCTAACGATATTCATTCATATGTATTCATCACCTATTGTTTAAATAACCTTTTACAAAAGTACTGTAAAATGATAAATTCTTGTACAATAGTATTTAATTCAGCAAGTCTGTGAAAAATTAAAGATAACAATTATTAAGTTTTAAAATTTATCATGATTCTATAATCAATGGCTTAGGTAAACTTGTTTTTTCTCATTCGTCGTTTTCCTATCTCCGTTCTCTATCAGACAGAGATGTGATAAATTTTGAAGTTGTTTTTGTTATTGTTTACATCACATCATCATCATCTCATTTGTCTGCTACTGCTACTCTGCTTCAGCTTGGTTTAGGTTAGGTTAGGAAATCGGCTAAATATAATTCATAGTTTAGAGTTTGTCACAAGGAGTTGTTGTCTCTTGTGAAACTCATACGACATTATTTCTGAAATGGCTAGATTGAATGTGCATTTTATCGTAGGATGCACGTTAGTTTTCTTTGTTGTATTAGCGAAAAAGCCATCAGAAAAACCATCATGGGCCAAGAAAGATATTCGGGATTTTACTGATGCTGATATGGAACGACTTCTGGACCAGTGGGAGGTTAGAATCTACAGGATGTAAACTTGTTCAAAAATCAGTTTAGTAACTTGCAGTTTTGGCAGGCCTACCTTTCATATTTTATTCAGGAGACTTTTGATGAGTAGTGATAGTCCTTTAGTCCGTGGTGATATATAAGGATTTTACAGATTTAGTAGTATGGCATAAAATATTGTGTACGTTACCTCGCTCGTCCAAAATGTGTTTAACTTACCGGACTCGTATGGTAACCCCATAGTGACCACACTCGTCTGGTAAACACCTATTTTCAGGACTAGTAACGTAATACCGTACCTATACTATTACACCACATACACTGTTTTAACAGACTTCCCACGCAAGGATTTAGTCCAGTCAACAGCTGTTTGCCGCCACCTTAATCAAATGGTGTTTCATTACGTACTCTCAGTCCCGCCTTTATAAACGGCTAGACTGGGCATATGCCCAGGGGCGCCTGTGGTCTGGCAGCGCCCGCCAGATGCCCCCCAACAACCTCCTGCCCACGCTATAAAAAAAGGGGGGCGCTGCTTTTGGGTTTGCCCAGGGTTCCACTGACCCTTAATGCGGCCCTGCGTTGTGAGTTTTTACTGGACACCAACCAGCTGATTATATTTGGCAATGAGTGGCTATAAACAAACACATAACCTTATGAGTAGTGATTCTGGTAAAACTGATCGAACTTATACTACTTATGATATATTGAACTTTTTTGCCTTATCTACCTAAATTAGACCATTTTAAGCACTTTTTACCATTGGCACTTTTGGGGGAAACCCCTATTTCACCCTGAAAATCGCGTTTGAAAATCAATAAAAATGCTAGAAATCTATGATTTTAGACGCATATAAAACTTTTTGGGTACAATTTCTTAACTGGACTAACTTATGCTAATATCTATTGAAACTATCAAATTTAAAATATTGTTTAATAATCGATATATTTACCAGCTATATCAGTTATAAAATTAAACTATCATAACCTAACCTAACCAACCAAACTTGCTGATAGTGAAAACATCGAATGAAGGCTTACTAATAATCGGTATTAGGCCTATCATAGCTAAGTTAAGAAACTGTAGGTAGGCCTAGGTACCCCAACTTCTTTTTACTAAGTACGTGTCAATAACTACTAACCTAACCTAGCATAACCAGGGTTTACCCAAAATTGGTCATTTTGGCACATTGTAAACCTAATGAGGTAATTTTTGGTACTTTACTATTTTTTACGATGTTCAAACCTGGTTTCCTGGGTAAAAACGGCAATTGCCAAAAAAGAAAATGGACTAATAATTAAAAAACCCCACCCTAAGTTAAAAAGAAAATTGTCAAGCCCCAAAAATCATTGATTTCTAGCATTTTTATTGATTTTCAAACGTGATTTTCAGGGTGAAATAGGCGTTTCCCCCTAAAGTGCCAATGGTAAAAAGTGCTTAAAATGGTCTAATTTAGGTAGATAAGGCAAAAAAGTTCAATATATCATAAGTAGTATAAGTTCAGTTTTACCGTGATGGTAAGTCTTTTTGTCGGTGGGAAAAAGGATTTGTACAGATTTTTTATTGTTAAGTTATCTTAGACTAGTATTGCGTAAAATATTGAACGTCACTCGTCCAAAATGTATTTACCGGACTTGTTTGGTAATCCTGCACTCCACTTTGTCTCGCATGGGAACGACCACACTCGTCCGGTAAACACCTACTTTCAGGCTATTAACATAATACTAACACTATTATAGATTTAAAGTAAAAGGGGGGGATGCTTTCAAAAGTTAGCTATATTGGAGAGCAACAACCCTGATTTGCCCGGTTGTCTCAGTGAGCATGATGGCAGTGGGTCATCATTGATCCTTGCCATCCCTACTGTACATTCATAATACCGC